CATGATCATCACTCCCAAAATGGAAAAAAAACCGAAGAGATCATCGTAAAAATCGCTCGATACGCTTGTTGAATGTATTCCACAGGCGGTTCATGAAGGTTATTCTTTTGCGCGTATTGAAGACCTTGGATGAGACACAACCAATTGAGCAACAGGATTCCGACAAGTATTCTGCCGTATCGGCTGTATCCAAACCGCATGACAGGTTAAAGGAGTTTGTTGAGAATATTACCTGTCTATAGTTCTGACTTTGTTGACATCGACTTCGCGTAGATGGAGTGGACCCGTTCTACATTAAGCGCTGTGGATGACTGCTATCGTGAATCTGACACAAAAATATAACTTTTCCATCAACCGTTTGCGGTGGCATTATACTGTACAAGGAAGTCGCTCAACTGCGACGAAAAGTGCATATGTATTGATGGCAAATACTTTGAGTTCCTAATTTTGCTGATGAGATCATCTTTTCAAGGAATACCAGTGAAGAAGAAGGGATACTCAATGAGATATTCAAGTGTGTTCATTTCAATGAAAAAAATTCCTGAGATAAAAAAATCCTCTCTACTAACTCTGGATGAAATTTCGAATGAAAACTTACAACAAGGCAATACGAACCCTAGCAACGACTTTTTAACACCTTTTGTCCTTTCACACTCATGTTGAGCATAGTACAAAAGAGAAGAAAGAGAAACGGCGATTCGACATTGTGCATAGGGGAAGCGAAGGCGATCGCACATTTCCCAAACTCGCTGTTATAACTAAACGTGCTAACATAATAGAAGATAAAAGTAACGACCAAATAACTAGACAAGAACAACCACATACCTAATAATGAAAGATATAAAGAGCATTAAACATACAATGGCATAGATTCTGTGAGCATTTAGACATCACTCGTCGAATACTACAGTGTTAATGGAAAGGACGACTCGTCTCCCTTAAGATGAAATCTGTCGTTCCTAATCTTCTGGTAAAATGTACCATTACACAAACAATTACCCCGATTTGTGAGGCGACGTAAAAGGCGAAGAGAATCGGGGAAACAACTACACTACTGACCACTGTCCCAGACAGCACGCTTACGTAGTTAAGTATTAGTGCTCTAAATCTTTAGAAGGAATTTAAATGTACTTAAAAAAACACAGCAGACAGTGTATAAGCAATGAGAAACCTCACGTTTTGTGTTAGTCTTGATCACTTTCACATCACATCAACCAACGCTGACAGAAGCGCGTTTGGTGACGCTTCTGAATCGTAATGTTTGGTGACTAGGTTCACCAGGTGCTTTGACTCAATGTAATCTTCACTGAGTTTCACCCAGCATTTCCTACAAAAACCGTGGAAAATATGCAAAGGAATTCAAAGAAACTAAACTTTAGAAGAATAAAAGATAGAGGACAGGAATAGTGAAATGGAATCCCTACTAATTTCTCACGCAAAATATTCTAAATTACCATGTACTTGTTTAAGGAAGAAGGAACAGTGAGCGTTTACGGTCCCAATAACACGTTTTCCAAGGAAGGTTCCGCCATTTAGTATGAATGTAATGGTATGCATTTGTTTTTAGATAAAATCTATTCCTCTCTGCAGAGGTTAGAGACTTCTTTTGTACATTTAGCCACCTCCACATTAAAAGTTGCTGCTAATCTTCTCGGATAACCAGATTTATTGTAACAGAGTTGTTAACAAAAGGAACATAGCAAGAAACTAGGAAAAAAAATGTGTGGTTAAGGTAGCCACAATGATAGTACCTACTGGAATCCTCCTTAAGCTTCTTGATTTGAGATTTATGATTATATCCCTCGCTGCAAGTTACTGACTTGGTAACACAAGGTCGCTACGAAACTCTATTATAACTAGTGTTTCGGGAACATTCATCGCCAAACGAAATGGTTGTTTTTTCCTTCTATTTTGGTAATAATCCATTCTGCAGCAGTTGAATTGGTATTAGCTGAACATAGGGCTTGATTTGTAACAAGCTCTTGTAAGCTTATCAATAGACGGAAACGCTGATTATCCACGCCGAGATTCCACGAAAGTCGGAATTAAAAAGATAGTAGTAACTGTTCGACCAACCCCACATGTAGAGTCTTAATGCTTACAAAAATGTTAAGCTGATTCTCGTTGTCATTGAGAAAAGGATGACGAAAGATGACTCTTTCCATACTAGTCGCCGCAGTAATATTCAGTGGATCCAAAAAAGAATGTGTTACTGCAGGCTATAAATATCTAGTTCTTCTACGACCGATTTTTAAACATAGCCCGTGATAAGATCGTAGGAATCGACTGGTTCATAGCAATTGAGCATAAATTTGCCTTGAACACTTGGCCGTCGCTCATCAACAGATAGAGTTCTGGGACATACTACTGAGCTTCACCACTCATCCGTTACCTCAGCATCATCCAAACAATATTGTTCTTCAGGGCCAACGAGACGGTTTGATGATCACCATTTACGAGGAACGTACAGCTCTACAGTTCTACCAGCGTCATATTGCATAACAATTTAATTGCCAAATATCTTTTAATTCTCATCCTAATATCCCAGTATCAAAAGATATTTGACAATTAAGTTGCTATACAAAACGACTCTGGTGAAACTGTAGAGCTGTACGTTCCTCGCAAATGTTCAGCATCAAACCGTCACATTGGCCCTAAGGATCATTCCACTATTCAAATATCGTTCTTCATCTTCCGAATCACTATCTCCAGAGCCACTATTTGGGACGAGTGAAGTGGTTCCCCTGTTGTCTTCTGCATCGTCACGGACGTGCTCATCGTTTCTATTTTCAAGAAAACGGTCGAGAATCGCTTCACAGCAATCATTTGCCGATATGACGCCACTAAAAGTTAAACTGTCGAACAGTTTCAAACTTCATATACTACGTCGTAGTAGACGGAATACTGCCATTGAACATTAGAAAAACGCACCGGCGATTAACATAAAAGAATTAAAGCGAGAATCTAGGAAAAGGCAAGAAAACAGCTGAAAATAGATATCTCATTCACTGTTTGCGATTCCCACATATCACCTTCGCATGCATGCTTTACCACCCGTTTAGGGGCTCAAACGTTATCCAACCACTCTTTTTCATTCCTCTTCTAATCGCAGGGATGGACCTTGATTGCCTAAACAAACGTAGCATAAGAAAATACATTAAAAGTGGCGAACTTCTGCAGACTGTGTTGGCACAACGGTCGAATAGTGAGCACCTTCCGAACTAATATATACACAAATATATACGTATATATATGTATGTATGTACATGCTCTAAAAATGTACACATATATATACGTACATATGTATACATATGTACAAATAATGAAAACACTTTTAAACACTCACCGCGTTGTTCGTTGCAAACTTTCCAGTTATTTAGTGAGGACCAACCGCACAGAGTCTTATATAGGCGGCGAATGTGGCTGACTCAGGACAAAAAATCATCCTGAGGTACGGTGCGAGGTCATGCATGATCGCAGGGCACTCGATGCGATTCATCTTTGGATTTTTGGAATTCATCCAAAACGCTTCAAGGGTTTTAGGAAAACACTCTCAGACGCCAACTAGTTCGTAACCGCCCGCATGACCGTCTATGCTTACTTACCTGGATACTTGGACGACCCGTCTTTAAGAGTAGTGGGGCCCCAGCACATTTGCCATTCGTTTCTTTCTCTTGCAGTCGTCGCCTATGGTCTATGCACAACGCAGAATTGCATTATATACGCTGACGGTAGAGAGGGTGATTGCATGAGTTCTGATACGGGTTCTCTAAGGTTGATCTCCCGTAAAGCTTGCTGGAACGAATACACTGTGCATCCGTGTAGAAGAGTACCCAGTTAGTAAACTTAAAGCTGAACAGAACACTCCACTAGGCACGCAAAGGGCACGAAAGCACAACGTTGAAGATCTCGAAGTGAAAGACGCTATCATCGCACACTAATCCAATACACCAGCACGAAAAACTTTTGGAGCGTTTCGGATAAATCCTCCAAATCCAGAAATGAATCGCATGGAGGAATCTCTCGTTATCACGCGTGACCTCGCGCCGTACGTCAGGCTGATTATTTGACCTGAGCAAGGCAAATTCCTCGGCCACGTACGACTCTGTGCTGGTGGCCCTTCCCAAATAACTGGAAGACTTATCACAAACGAAACGATGAGTGTTTGAAGGAAGTTGTTTACTATGCAAATGCTATTGAAAAAATTTAAGTGTCTTGTCTGCAAAGGTTATGAAAGTGTTTGGCTGAGTGGACTGCATGTTAACCTTAGCTTTCCAGGTTGTGAAGAAGGCGAAACCGCCAAAACCTCAGCGCTTATGAATAAATGGATGCTACAATAACAATGTAGCGTTTGCTCATCCAGAGAAACAGTGAATTATTGACCAACATCGAGGTTAAAAGAAAATCGATCTTGGGGATTGGACTTTAACGTGGAAAGAAAGAAGCCTAATGACTAACATATGGTGTCGTTATCGTACCATTTGCACTTAATATGAAAGCAATAGTAGTAGTAGTATAGCTGCAGTAGCGACGTACTACTTACCTGTTTTTACCTGTCTTGGAAACTCAGATTTCCATCATGTTGCACACTACATTAGATCCAAAGGGTAGTCCAGTTCAACAACATCTCGTTGACGAGTTCATCGTCGAATTCGAGACAAGTCCGCAATACATATTTCGTTTACGACTACTTTTGAGTACTGTAGGATTCGGGGATCTAACCTTATTCCCGGTCCAGGGTCTCCATTTCTGGTGCTACTGTTCTTCTTCCCCTTGTTTTGTTGCTGTAATACCAATGTACGAGGATTTTGTCTCAGCACTGTATGAAATTGGTTTCTTTCTTAATGTCGTGGAGGCTGAATAATTCCTTCCATATCCCTTGGCGTTGACAATGTCGACCTTCCTCTCCTAGAAGTTTGAATTTCGTAGTGGACATTTGTCGTCACGAATGTTTGCCAGCATCGTACTGTTGTTTGAGAGGAAGAAGACGTTTTTGAAGGATGTACGGTGGTCAGAGCGCCTATGATTCACTCATCGATGTTTGCTTGAATTCTGCGATGGCGAACGTAAGGACGTTGTCGATGGAACAACTTAATGAGCTTCTTTACAATGAGTCACGTCTTGACTCTTTGATTGACAGTCTTCCCCAGGTATCGTTTTGACACACTCGAGTACATTTAAATTTGTAATGCCTTAACTACTTATTCGGCAGACCTTGGCCAGGCGGCTGACCCCGGGATCCCAAAGAACCACAGCGGCTCAGCCGGTAACTCTCCAAAGATGAAAAGAGAAGAAATGGAAACTGTGCTGGCGCCCGTACAATGGAGACGGGCCGTCCAAGTATCCAAGTATCTACGTATTTGCCAAAAAGGGGCGTGTGACACAGTGGTCGGAGGCACCCTGTAATACACATGAATTCGATCCCCGCCCATCTGGCCCACCAAGCCTTCCATCCCTCCGAGGTCGGCAAATTACTACCGGGCTTTTCTAGGAAGTTAGCAGCACTGACTCTATAGATCAGTAGGCCACCGCGAGTCATTGTATGGGCCAGATATGAATTCAGTTACCTCTAACGATGCTTAAAGAAATCAAATGCATGGTGTATCCCTCAGGGATTGATTATGCCGAAAGCTTTATCGTTCAATTTTATCCCTTATTTATTTACAACCCAGCTCGACATCGTTCTTATTCGGTGGTAACTTTTTGTTTTGTCTCATTCCTGTGTTCTCATATGGAGTGAAATCCGTAGAGGATTGATGGGAACTGGCTTTAATCTGCTTATGGTGTTTTGTGTTTGTACTCTCACGCCGTTTATGGAGAAGTAGAAACTCAAAATTGAGTCTGCACTTACAAGCAGCCATCATGAAGTTGGTTACTTTTTCAAGCACATAATAAGCAAATCAATTTCATCATATTAATTCACTAGCAGTCTTTATAACTAATCGTAGTCATAGTAAGGATAAAAGAATGGAGCTCTCGGCATTGATCAGTTCCTTAGGGATTAGCCATGCATTCGAAAGTATCGTTGGGAGGTGATTGAATGCCTATCTGGCCTTTACAATGACTCGCGGTGACCTGCCCGTGTATCTTGCCAGTGTTGCTTTCTTCCCAGCCAAGTCTGGTACAAATTTGTCGACTCCAGAGTATGGAAGACTTGGTGAAACCGGAGCGCGAGGAGAGATCCCGTGTGTATTGTACTCAAAATAGCCAGTCATAATAAGTATCTGTGTAGTAACTGTGAAGGTATCATCCATGATTCATTTACAACCTCTGTTCTGCTAAGTCAGTTTCTGCTCTCTCTTTCAATAAACAAGAGTATGCGGACTTTTTTCCTTCACTGGCTAGTTTCAACGAAGCCCGTTTATTCGTAAGCAGAAATTTTACGATTTCGCTCCTGTGGAGTTTAGCTTCATTACTAGTTTGTGTCCTCTTGAGTGTAAGTGTTTACCACAAATGGTTGTGAACATAAGAATTGATAGAGATGTAGATCCGTTGCTTGCCAACTGAACGTGAAGCTGGTCTTGCTCAAAACAAATCACTTGCTGAGTGGAATTTAGCACAGGAGCCGAAGCTGGATCAGTTGCGCATGCAGGTACGCTTTGTTTCGTTTTTTGCCTTTCCTATTGTGACTGCATACACTTACTAGGTGAAAACACTTCATGAACAAGCCGTCGCTCTGAGGACTGAAACTGAAACGCTAAAAGCAAGACTAGGTGGGAAACGCGAAACGAAAATCAAACCTGCACATCGTTGAAGTTTTTTTTTTAATTGTTACGAACTGGCATGAACTCAAAGTTTTTCCAGATGAAATTTCCTCTTCTAAATCGCTTGATACTACAAGCAATTTGCTTCAGGTTGCAGCACAAGAAGCAGATGATGATGCAGAGGTAGGGAAATCATATTTCCAGTAACTGTTTCTGCTTATAAACCAGTGATTGCATTTGTTCTTTGCCATCTTGATGTAATTTAATTTAGGGAACTACTAAAGCCTTTCTATCCGGAGCAATATCAGCTGAACAATTCTTGAAAGATTTGCTCGAAAAGAAAACGCTGGCTCACTTACGGTTAGTCAAGTCCTTTTATGTTCTTAATTTAATACTACTATGCACTGATTGCAGGAAGGTGAAATCAGATCGTTTGCTTACGATATTACGTGATCAACAATATGCTCAAACTGCACCGCCTGTACCTCAACGTATTGGCGCGCCTTATCCAGAAATTCCCATACTTAATAGACACTCATATTATTAAGGTATTGCATGTATGATCTAAAAGTCGTTTTAATTGGCCAAGGCTTATTTAAGTATTTGTACATAATTGCCCTTAATGCTTCTAGCCAAGCACCTAAGCATTAGATAGGTTGGCATTCTTGTTCGGGTTGTACGCTAAACGTGTGTAGTACCGCAGTACCGTGATTTGTAATCCCGACATGCTGTTCTGTGAAGCCGACCGTTATGTCCTACTTTGATGTAAAGAGTTTTAAATACATCTTTATCTTATATTTAACAGTTCTGTGCTTGTATATTCATTACTGTCTCCCTGGTTCTCCCTGCAAATGCCTATTTTCATGAATGTGTTATTAAAATATGCCTACATCTGTAGTAGCAACAATTCTTTTAGGTAAAGTATAATCTTCAGATGCAATCTTGTAGCCATCTTTTACGCAGAATTCTAAGCCGTCGATTGTCCACTCTTCGAGAAATGGCTGGTGCTCAGGATCCCGAAGTTCTTTATGAACCAAAATTTCCGGATACCAGAGAGTATCCTGAGTAAGTTTTTTCTGTGAAGATGCCTTGATTCTGTAGTGCTAAAGTTCCGCACAGCTATAGAGTCTAAAGCAGCAGATGGACTTACGATATTTTATTTTCCTAATTTATAAACTAACACATGCTTAATATGAATTTTACTTGGGTAACGTTCCGGCGCCTTCACCTTCTTCAGAGTCCGGATCTTTTGTTCACAGGCGTTTATTCATCCGACGTTATTCTTCGCACACAGCGGTTCGATTCCAGTGGAGCGGAGCGGCGCTCGAAATAAAAGTAGATGACTACTTCCATTTTTGGAGTGTCCGAACCGCCATACACGATCACATTATAGGTTCCCGAGAAGGCAAAGGCCCGAAACGCTAACCGAATAAAGTTTTATACCAACGTCATGTTAGCCTATCAAGGAAAAAAGTACATTTGTTAGCTATATCGGGATTAAAAGGAAGGTGGTTTACATGATTTGAGAGCAAGTTCATAGGGTTTAGTGGTTTTTGTTTTTATCTTTTTTTATCGAAGCAGACGACAAGTGGTGTGCGCCTTTTCTTACTCAAAAGAATGAACATCATAGAAGAACTCTAGCCTATGCAATGTGTTGTTTAAAGATGTTTCATTACTCTGTTTCACAGTAGTTACTCGAACGCGAACACAAGTGTCACGTTATCTTTAGGTATGATTTATTGAACGTACGGATTCAGGGATATGACTTCACTTACATTGAGAAATTTCAAGGCTATATTGACAGGATGGCTCGGAGGTTTAATTTCAAGGTTGTTGAAAGGTATAGCCCACTTAATTGTGTGAGTTGTTTTGCTCTTCTTGCTGCAGTTATCAATTTGGCTCCGATTGTAGCTATGCGGTAGCAGCGCAAACACAACGTGTGGTAGTCTACAAGCCGAATAGCACAATCGTGGACAACGAAGTAAAACTAGCTCTATATGATCGGTATATTTCATCAGTCTACGTTTAACAAATGGATTCGTGTATTTTCTGAAAGTGGTATGAATCTGTTTGTACTTCGCCTTTGTTTCTGGTTAAATTTTAGAGTTGTTCGACTCAGTAATGTGGCAGCACCACGCCTTCAACTGTTTATTACACTTGTGGAAACTCACATACCTGTTGGAGTTACTGTAAGTGATCCTAATGTTTCAGTATTTTTCGTGAAAACTGGATAGAGCTTATAAGCTATCCGTTGTGATCCTTTGTCTTATTCGGTTTTACATCTCCGCTAATGAGCATCTCACTTTTTTCTTTCGGAACGAGAATATTTGTTAAATGACAGTCGACGGTGTAGGTGAAGTGAGCTGTGGTTGTAGATGGGAGTACAATCTTGTAGAGCTTCAATAGGCAAAGTATTTGTAAAGAACAGCGAACTTCTTTTGGTATACCAGATTGCATAAACAAAGGAATTTTAGTAGTAGTAAACATCCATTAGGAAAGGGCACGTGTGGTGCAGTGCTCGGAGGTGCCCTTCAATACACATGGGATCGATTCACTCGCCCATGATCCACCAAGCCTTCCATCCCTCCGGGGTAGGCAAATTGGTACCAGACTTCTCTGGGAGGATAACAGCACTGACTCGATGCATCGTTTAACTACCGCGAGTCATTGTAAAGGCCAGATATGCATTCATTCACCTCCAAACAAACTTAGTGAAGTCGAATACATGCCCTATCTCTAAAAGATTGATCAAAGCCGACAGCTTCGCCCTTTTTTATCCAGTAGGAAGCTTCGCCTAGTAGCATTGTGTTGTTTGGGATAGTTTACTTCTTTCGCGAGCTGTAAGAAGATTCTTAAAACTCTCACTAGCGCATAGTGTATCATACCTCAATTTTCTGAGCGTGGAACTGTGCCTCATTTTTCATGACGCATGTCACGAGACCATTTGATGATTTATATGGTCTCTCATACCTTCCCAACGCAGAGATGTGCAATTCCATCTTCATTGTCTACAACCTGCTACTTTCGGTACGGAGCCAGTTAGTCGGCGTGAAATTCAGAGACAGTATTCTTTTCATGTTTGTACATATCTGCATTTATGTATATATCTATATATATCATACTTTATACTGTTCCTATTTCCTGCCCTCCATCAACAGTCGGTAGTTTGACGAAGAAACTAGCTCGACAGTGTTCTTTACTAAATTATTAGGTGCAGAATGTAAATTTTCATAGAATAAGTGTACCAGAACATAAATTGTGTGTCAAGGAACAGCGTTGTGAAGACCATGGAAGAATCGCCTCATGTATGACTCATGTGATGAGCTCTTCTTTTCTCACCTCATGAACATTATTATACATCTTTTCTCTTTTATGATTGATTGACGTGTAGGTAACGTTGTGGAGGATGCTATGGCTGACTTATTGTAAATTTTAGGTTACGTTTAAACAACATGAAAACGCCGATGAAGATTATCGTTATATACCGGATTTACTACTAAAGCAGAAGCAAGAAGAGCTCAAGTCTCTCGACAATCCCATAGTTAGGAGGAATCTAGGCTGGGAATAGCGTACTGCTTGTTTTCGTTGTGTTGTTCTGAGTTACCGATATTGATTTGTATTTGTTCCGAAGTGCTTGATGATGTGTCATAAAGAGCGTTTGAAGAATAAAAATCTAAAAGCAGTTGTTCTATCTGACGCATGGTTTTTTTTCATAAGAGTACCGCTAAGTTTCTGCTTACAACATCAGTCGTTTGCTGCTTTGTTAATGAGAGAACGCAAGGTTGTTATAGTATTTATTCGTCCGCAAAAGTTGACATCTGTTCAGTCTCGGCTTCAAAGCCTGGAGCCTGTAGATGTCAAATTGACAAGCATTTTACCGAGCCAAGTACATTCATAATCTCAGCGCAATAGGGATTAGTACGTAAATTTTAATTCAGGTAGTAAAGAGCTTCTTTTAAATACACCACTTTGGTCTTTGTAAGTTTTCCAGTTCTTTGACGGCGACTAACTGAACAGTCTTACATGGGCAGGGAATGTGGCTGGCCAAGTTCAAAACAACCATCGTTACTGCGTGCTTTGGGGCTTGCGGTGTTGTGCTATTGTTATTCCTTCTACCCAGATTTTCTTCAGATTTGGTCCTCTCTGCGTCTTACCTCGTCTTCCCTTAGTTTACGTAGATATTTAATGGTCCAAGAAACGATCCAGCGTCTCGTTCCGTACGAGCTTGTAGACATCGGAGCAAATCTTGGCCATCCTTCTTATAAAGAGGACTTGGAGGACGTTTTAAAGCGTGCAAGACAGGCTGGTAGGTCTTCCTTACTATTAGAGATACCCTTTATTAGAATTTTTAAGTAGGTGGAGTAGAATTACTAGGCAGGTAGTGAATCTTATTAGACAAGTCTTTGTTTTTCGCTCCGAAGACATTTTTCTCTTGCTATTTTTTAGGAGAGCGATTTAACATCACGAGCCTTCCTATTTTTTCTTCACAAAATTGGCAGAGCACTCTATAAAAACTGTAAAGAGAGATGTCATGATGGTTCCTATGGGCTCCTATTAAATGAATTGCGTATCCAGGCTGGGAAATGTTTCTTCGTTTTCAATCGATTAGTGAGTTAAAACGAGGGATAAAAGCTACTCTTTATAAGATGTTATGGCTCTTCTACCCATTAATACCTTGTATGATGGACTGGATGCCTTAGAGTACTTCACTTGCTCTGCGACTACACTTTACCTAGTCCTGCTTTCATCTGTTTGACCCTACTTCACACCTTATGCGAATTCTAGCGCCTCGTTCATTCGTTTCGTCGCTTACATTCGACATTCGCGAAGACATTTGGATTTGTGGGTAAGTTCGGTTGCTATTAGAGCAGTCTCCCTCATGTTTGTAGTTGAATTTCGGTCGAGTTTATTTTGTATGGAAGGCTGAGATAGTTTTACTAAGGCGCTCCTGGGTCTCCATCGCAGAGGCAGTAGTCGGCCTTTATGGATTGAAGGAAGCTTTTTCCATATAAATATGCAACAACTTCCTAGCCGAAAGTATGGGAGGCTTGGTCGGGGAGGGGTCGAACCAGCGACCATGCGTATGTTACACTGTGTCACTGACCACTGCATTTCTCTGGTTACCTCAAAGCGTTGTTACACATAACGCTGCGTTTGAATATTACTTTTTCGCTTTTATGAAAGACAGTCCGTAACAGTTACTCTCGATAATGACTCGTTCCTTCTTTGTGATCATTACTCATTTTGACAACAATGTATTCAAGCAGGTTTTTTTGGTTTGTACTTTACTCTCCAATTCGCTGCTTGAGTTTTGAGACTCGGAAAGCCGGGAAATGGTGCATATACTTTAGAGGTAAAAGGAGAACTGTGTGAATTGCATGCATTCTTTCTTTGATTAGGTTACACGAGGTCGATATATAATCTTTATTCGGCTATTGTTTATCTGGCTACTATCAACACCCAGCATCCTGGATCGAAGAACATCGCCGAATGAGTATGGCTCATTCGAGGGATGGCCCACCAAGGAAGATCCGGTTCGATAAGAAGAGGTCATGTCGAGAGTATGATCAAATGTGGACCATCGACTTGTGTTATCGTTTCTGATGAAGACGAAGACGTCGAAACGTTAGCCGAATAAAGATTTTATGCCAACCTCATGTAAGCTCATCAGAGAAAGAATAGATATTGATTAGTCGCGCCAAGGTTGAACGAAAGTCGGTTTTGAAATATTGTATAAGGTCTAGTTCTGTAGTTATGCCTCTCTCTTGTCTAGATGTGGTCTATAATTTTCTTTTAACACTGGTAGTTGCCACAGGAACTGTTTAGATTCTTTTGTTTCAAGTAGTTTGATTTACTAGTGCTGTTAAATTTTTTTACATTTGTCAATGACTGTTTGAAAAATTCCCTCAATTTGTGTTTTTGATGGGCTTCTGTCCCGCTTCCTGGCAGGCTTCTTATATCGGTAAACCCCGAAAGATTGTTTACGTTCAATATACATTCATTCATTCTTCTCTATAGTTCTAAATAGAGCCGATTGCATAGAACATCCGGAAAGGATAGATCAGTATCTGACGCTTTATAATCTATAAGCTTCGAGGTGACAAAATGTAGAAATTAATTACGCGCAGTTACTTTATTTCGATATGGCGAGAAGAAATCATTAAAGACTACACATTGGCAAACTAAACTTTGTTCAGTCGACTTGCCTACTTTGTTCTGTGTTGGTAAATTTCTGGCACAACTAGTAAGACTGAAGCGATTCTGCATGGCAGAGCTAATGACCGGGTCAGAAGTCATATATTGCCTTTGGCTTGAAATTTCAGTTAGATTTCACGTACTGTTCAAAAGTATGTGGTTGACCTCTGCATGTATCATTGTACTGTGTACACTTTTATTAGTAATCGCCTATATTTTAAGTAGGGGCTTTAGGGGCTTCTGTGAACGAGGTGCTCGTCAAGGCTCCATTCTTATTCTCTGTGCTTATCACTGTATTCTTTCACTGATAAGCCAGCGCGAGATTCATTACAAAGGAGAAAACATTATTGGTTAATGTCTCGACGCCATTACCTTTATCAGAGTCTTACTGAGCTGGGTAGATTGTCCACAGTCGTCCCTTCCTCTTCCGATGTGGTCGTTCGTGATCGCATCTAGTCGACTTCAATAAAGCACCCCTTGAATGGAGTAATCTCATTCGGAAACCGTGGGAACGTTAGTCCAATAAGGTTTTATCAACCTAGTGTTAGTTTATCAGTGAAGGAATGCATACTGAATAGTTACGCTGGGGTTAAACGTTGGTTGGTTTCTAAAATATCGCCACGCTCTGTGCTCTCTATTCAATTCGTATTTACTGTTATTTACTGTTTCCTGGATTTATTGAACTTCTATCGTCTTCCTTAGTTTACTTCACAATCAATTCCTTTGCATGAAAAAACTTTTGATGTTTTTGAGAGTTTTCATGGTGGGCGTCTAATGATAGATCATCGACGTTTTTGGAGGGAATTGTGGCGTATTGCCTGAAAGGGAAGTGTCCATGGCTTGTAAAAAAGAAGGATAAAGCTCTCTGCATTGATCAATCCCTGAATGATGCGCTATGCATTGACTTTATTTGGAGGTGACAGAATGTATATCTGGCCTTTTCAAGTACTCGCGGTGACCTACCGATGTAGCGAGATGTGTGTTGCAGGGCGCCTCTGAGCACTGCGCCACACGCGCACCTTCATTGTATTAATGTTTGTTAAAAGTGTTTATACGAGAATATACATTCTATCGCTTTTAACACTTAGAATGTCGCCCGGCATGAATTGTATCAATTCGTTCTATTTAGGGTTGTTTGTTTTTGCCTGAGAAGCTGCCCCTCTGATTACAATATTGGATTCGTAGCTTCATAAACACATATATCGTATCCTAGAAGAACTTCCTATAAAACCTGTTTTATGTACTTAACACAAGGCTTAATACTCAAATCCGTGCCACGGCTTCGTGGTCGAGCTTCCCTTCGTAAGCTCGTCCACGAATGCTATCTTCTAATGTTAAGTGGAGGATGGTTTCTTAATGATGAGCGATAGTTCCAAAATTTCTCCAAAGCAGAACAGTGATTAGCGTAGAACTAGTGTCTTAAATGTTATCATAAGTAACTCCCACGACCGACTTTCTATTAACCTCGGCATTGATCAAGTAATTCTTCGTATTTTTGTTGAGCAAACGCGAGGTGTTATTATTCTTTATTCACAAATGAGCTGACGTTTCGGCGGATTTCGCCTTCCTCAGAGCCTGGAAAGGTCAAGTTGACAGCAATCTACTTGGCCAGACGCCTCCATAACCAAACAAAGAAACTCTAAACCAAGATTTCAATCACATTGAACACAGCTTTGCACACTCACCGCTTTCTATGAGGTCTCCACTAAGTATGTCACGTAGAGACCAACCGCACAGAAATCACATGGAAGTATAATGTACCCCACGCATCAGAATAGCAGTCTTATATACTGCCCTACATCACGCGTGATAATAAGGCATTCTTCCCTGCGGTTCATTTTCGGATTTCTGGAATTAATCCAGAGTGCCTCGAGAGTTTTTCGCGCCTGTGTTCTTGATTCGCGTGCAAGGGTCGTGACACATACTTCAAAGTCCTCCCCGTTATGTCTCTGGGTCCTATGCGTGCCTAGCGGAGTATTTGGTCTATGTTTGCCGGCTAGGTGTTCTTTTATGCGGACACAGAGGGGTCTGCCCGTTTCGCCAATGTATTCGTCACCGCACGTCTTACAGGAGATCAGATAAACTATACCCGAGCTCATGCAATCACCGTCTCTCCCACTGGGGCAAATTATGCAGTTTTGAGTTGCACATAGACGGTCATATNCGCTTCTTTTACAAGTCGGAAGTATCTTGCTGGTACATCTTTCAGTAACTCCCACGACCGACTTTCTATTAACCTCGGCATTGATCAAGTAATTCTTCGTATTTTTGTTGAGCAAACGCGAGGTGTTATTATTCTTTATTCACAAATGAGCTGACGTTTCGGCGGATTTCGCCTTCCTCAGAGCCTGGAAAGGTCAAGTTGACAGCAATCTACTTGGCCAGACGCCTCCATAACCAAACAAAGAAACTCTAAACCAAGATTTCAATCACATTGAACACAGCTTTGCACACTCACCGCTTTCTATGAGGTCTCCACTAAGTATGTCACGTAGAGACCAACCGCACAGAAATCACATGGAAGTATAATGTACCCCACGCATCAGAATAGCAGTCTTATATACTGCCCTACATCACGCGTGATAATAAGGCATTCTTCCCTGCGGTTCATTTTCGGATTTCTGGAATTAATCCAGAGTGCCTCGAGAGTTTTTCGCGCCTGTGTTCTTGATTCGCGTGCAAGGGTCGTGACACATACTTCAAAGTCCTCCCCGTTATGTCTCTGGGTCCTATGCGTGCCTAGCGGAGTATTTGGTCTATGTTTGCCGGCTAGGTGTTCTTTTATGCGGACACAGAGGGGTCTGCCCGTTTCGCCAATGTATTCGTCACCGCACGTCTTACAGGAGATCAGATAAACTATACCCGAGCTCATGCAATCACCGTCTCTCCCACTGGGGCAAATTATGCAGTTTTGAGTTGCACATAGACGGTCATATAGGCGGTTTCGAACTAGCTGGCGCTTAAGATTACTCGGTGGTATTTCAACTACGCGTACCGAATTCTCTAGACCCGCCCTTCTTAAGCAGCGTTTTATGCCTTATTATCACGCGTGATGTAGGGCAGTATATAAGACTGCTATTCTGATGCGTGGGGTACATTATACTTCCATGTGATTTCTGTGCGGTTGGTCTCTACGTGACATACTTAGTGGAGACCTCATAGAAAGCGGTGAGTGTGCAAAGCTGTGTTCAATGTGATTGAAATCTTGGTTTAGAGTTTCTTTGTTTGGTTATGGAGGCGTCTGGCCAAGTAGATTGCTGTCAACTTGACCTTTCCAGGCTCTGAGGAAGGCGAAATCCGCCGAAACGTCAGCTCATTTGTGAATAAAGAATAATAACACCTCGCGTTTGCTCAACAAAAATACGAAGAATTACTTGTTATCATAAGGCTTCGTAGGAATCAGCGGATCCAATGGTAAAGTATACATACCTTCTTCGCTTTTTATGGCTGATTTTTGTTTGAATCAGGAATTTCAAAACTGATGATCACTGGAACCTCGGAGAAGGTCAGTAAGGAATGCATGGTACTGGCTGAAACGATGCCTGGTTTCCTCTATTTTACAGCAGGTATCTCTCCTTTTATTTTTTCCTTTCCTATTTCTTACTTCTTTTCCAGGAGTACATCCTCATGATGCGAAAGACTTTGGTGAAAATTCTATCGACACCTTGAGGTCTCTTCAGGTGCGAAAAATTCGGAAGATTGGAAGAAATCTTCCCATTCTTAGATATATTTATGCAATACTTGTAGTTTTAGGAACATCATCAGTGTGTCGCCGTTGGCGAATGTGGTTTAGACTTCAACAGGAATTTTTCTCCACAACAAGTTCAAATAAGTGTTTTCAAGAAACAGGTACAATTGTCTCCTTTTTATGTGTACGCATCACCCGCTAACTATCGACCTGTTGATTGTCGAGGGCCTCGAGTGGGTGGCGGTAAGCCTTCCATTTCTCTCCGTTCTTTGCAAGAGTAGTCCATTGCGTTCTGCTCCCTCTAGGGCTCATTGAGTGAGCATCATATTTTCCTTCCGGTGGTTTCGTGGAGACTGGTGAGAATTCCAGTTGCAAGCGTGTCCTATCTATCAGTTGTGGTTAAGATGAGTTACGTGCCCCTCCCATCTCATTTTCGAATATTTTAGTGTTTACAGTGACGTCTGTTATCCTTGAAGTATCGCCTTTTGTCTAACTTCTCCTTAATTCGATGCTGACATCGTTAAAGAACGGTGATATTAAGGTTACGAATTTTTAATATACCTGAGGAAGAATCTATATCCATTGAGTAGAACGGCCGTCGTTATTCAGAACTTTCATCATTGCTTTCTCTTAAGTGTGTCAAATTCTTTCTTTAATCGGTGAAATTTATTTAGAGGGCTCTGGTGTACTCATATTACTTCAATGAATTTTCACTTTTTCTTCAAGCACGAGGTTGTAGCATTTATTAATACACAATAGCTGACGTTTCTGCGGTTTAATCTTCCTCGGAGCCGTTTTATTATTTGTAGGTTATCCAGATATTTGGTGAAGACCAGCAGCACAGAGAAACCAGTGAACTTTGTTATCGTGTGGATGTAGTCTATCGTACTGAATCGTCCTGGAAACACTACTTCCTCACATGGCTGCCCTTCGTCTAGTGTTCTGCCGATCCTGTTTAGGATGGAACGAGTGAAAAGTTTATAGACGACAGACAGTAAGCAGATTGGATATAATTGTCAATATTGTGCAGGTCATCTTTCTTGATCAATAGCATGGTCTTTCTGGCCTTCCACTGACTAGGACCCTTGCATTCAGACAGGTAACATGTGAAGAGCCGAGCCAGTGTGTTTACAAGGACAGGCGTAAGGTTCTTCAGGTGTTCAGATCTTACCCGGACCAGGTCTTCGATTCTTCATCGACGAAATAGGATGTCGGATTTTGAGAAGAACGAATCGGTGGAACTTTATATCCATCCTCCTTTGCTTCGTATGACGGCAAGAGGACGTGGCAACTGAGAGATCCGAGTAGTAATCGCAAGCGTTTTTTTCCACTGTCTTTCTGGAAGCTGTAACTATTCCATCTGGGCGTTGGAGTACAATTATCTTGGTTTTGTGACTGGCGAAGTTTCGATCGGCTTTGCGAATGCTTTTCCCAGCCTCTGCAGCTTCGACAATAACTACTGTTCTTCTCTCTTTAAGATCTTCTTTTATCGGCTGTCTGCATTGTTTCGCAAGTTCGGATGTGAGTTAGCGGTGGCCATAGCTTGTGTGATTCTTCCACGTTGACGTATCAGCTTGACTGTTTCTAGAAACAGACGTCGCTTGGTGTCTTTCGAGCATTCACCATTTCTAGCACTAATGTGAAGTGTTGAGTGAGTTATTGAATAAGCCAGTCGTATTTCTCATTGAGGTTATCAAAAATGGGATTTTACCAGGAGCCGACTAATAAACAGTAAATTCCAGTTTGTGGTGGTTTCGGGACTTCGTTGTTTGAATTTAGCAGCTTTTTCTCCTTTTCAAATTGTGCACGAAGGTGGTGGTCTGAGCCCATGTAGAATTTTGGGATAACAGCGACATCGGTTAGGCAAAACCTTCGCGTCTTCTCGTCTCAGCCGCTCCGATGAAGTTGTACTTCATCCTTTTTGTCTGCATGGTCAGGTCCCTTAGATGCAAGTGAACGCGCACTGCACATAGAGATAGTCACCTTAGTCCATCGAGGTTTAGACAGCCTATAATGTCTCTGAGATTTTAGCAGCCCCTCCGTTCTAGTGCTACCTAATGCTGCTGTATTAGAGCCTTTTTTTGGTAAGGGAATGAAGCCCACTTATTTTTCTGTGCTTGGCGTTTGATACCCACATGTAATTTGCTGAGCTACGAACGTAAGGGCTGGGCATGCTCATGGGTAGCTTGCCAGTCTGTTCCAGAATATGCGGGGGTTTTATTTGTTGGAGACGACTCCTAAGCTCGTCCCGTGTACTTCCTAGTCACTTTGTTTCAGGCTTTTAGTCGAATTCGCTCGTGGAATAGAATCCGCATAGACGGGAACACACCCACGCAGCATGCATGCATGAATATGTCTTCGTAGACACAGAAGGAATTCAAATTGGTGTAGCGGAAACATGAATTCCATACGCTGGAGCCATCAGAAGCATAGAGTGGTATTTAGTCCTTGGTTATCCCCCTGTCCTCTACCTTGGGAAGCACCACGTTTCACGACTAACCGGGAGGTGGTCTTTACGTGAGGGAGATTGTATTCATGTTTACGTGCAGTATTTGTTATCTGATGAAATGAACATATTTTCTAGGTGGAACTAGCATGCGAATTGAAAAAACCACTGTTCATCCATGAGCGGGAAGCCCACAATGATATGGTTGACATTTTAACTAAAGCAGACGAGAGGTAGTTCATTTTTGTTCGTCAAAATCATTTTTCGCCAATGCAGTAGCGCTCTAAGTTGATTAGGTTACCTCCAGCTGTGGTGCACTGTTTCACTGGCACGGAAGATGAGGCGAAAAAGTACGTAGAAATGGGATTGTATATAGGTTTAACAGGTATGACTAAGATGAATTCACTGTTGTAATTTTTAAGCTTTGAGTTCACATTCTTCTAACCTGTTAAGTTTTACACATTTTTATGTATTTTATGCATGTAAAATCTTAAGGATTTTTGTGGAAAGACCGGCAACAGAATGGTGTCCAAGCTGCCCTTCGTAATGGTTCTATACCTCTCGATCGACTTCTTATTGAAACTGATGCTCCGTTCATGTACCCGAAAATTAGTGACAAAAAGTTGCCGATGTCCGTGAAAGAGGCTTTCAGTGTTCCAACAAAGCAGTTACATAAAGTGAGCGATTTTTATGACGAGAATGAGCTTTTGTGTACGTTTTTGAGTGTGTCGTTTTTCCCGATTTTGAAATTTTGACTACGATCTGTTCTTCCACCTGTACTATGTAGATTGTTCTTAATGTAATCACTTTTTTATTTACTTCCTAATCGTTCTCCATGGTAGGATATGGTGTGAAGTATAAACACAATGATGCTGAGATATTTGCAAAACCCCGCACCGCAGGTGTCTACGGTAGTGATCGAACACGCTATTACTCTTTCCGGGGGCTAATGTGTTCACCACCACTCCACGCGAGTCCATCGTTTCGCGTTCTTCTCATCCGTGTTTCATAGACGCTATCAGCACTGACCAGATATGTTCTCCGCAGATCAATCCTGTTGACAGGCGATTGCTGATGGAAGTGGTAGGTAGAAAACTACCTGAGAGAAGGGTAAAACGAAGGACCAGTTTGGTGTGGTGGTGTACGCGTTAGCTCCCGGAAAATGTAATAGCTCGTTCGATCCCACCGCAGGCACCTGCTGCTCGGAGTTTTGCAAATATCTTAGCATCGTTGTGATCCCATTGATCTTAATGTTGTCCCAACTAATACCTGAGTTCAAATAAGTACAGGAATTTCGGGCGTGTGAGTCATATATGACTCATACCCGGCTGTAAATATTTTAGTCTTCCAGTTTAAGCAGAGGTGTCTCAGCATATAATGAGCTTTAGTAATTTGAAAAGAAACTGTTAGAATATACAGATCTTTGTCGCAAGACAAAAGTTTTGCTATGCTACCAGAGTGATGATCTAATCTTCGAATTGTTCGTAAATATATTTTTGCCTTTCTTGTACCCTCCAATACAACGTTTGGTGGTGCAAATTTCGTCAGAGAGTGTAAAAAGCTGCATATCTTCCGAATGCTTCAAAAAATTTGAGTTTTTAACAACTTTAAGGTGGGGATGAAAACTCGGAGAAATCCTTTAGAAGCCGTGTCCTTAGAAGGATAGAAGAAAGTATCGCAGAAATTTTCAACTCTTCAGTTTTAGAAGTACCGTGTTTTCCAAAAACTTCTCGGTTGTTGTTGAAAAATTTTATTTATTGTGTTTTAATTTAGTTTGCGTCTTTTGACCGCAATGAACCATGCGCGCTAGCCGCTATTTGTGAAATGATCGCTGCATTCATGGATATCGATCCAAGAGAGGTATGTTCACGCGTTGATTCTTCAATTGACAATTGATTTGTGTTGTTTTACAGGTTGCTGAAGCTACAACAGCAAACGCCAAGCAAGTTTATGGACTAAATTAGGTGTTCTGGGTGAAATCTGTCTAATAAATGGTTTCATATGTTCCCCATTCCTGTTTATCTGTTTCGTCAGTTTGTGCCATTTCTTTCTCTTTTCTACTGCGTCAGTCGTCTTATGTCCTATGGGGCTTCTATTATCTATTTGGAAATTGCTTTATGGTTTTGCTATTAAGAAATTGCTGGTTCTTACGTTGTGTCGTTGACAGGTACCATGAATTTGTTAGTGGAACATTCGTTTAATGGAGCTCGTCAACGAAACTTGTTAAGATTCATGCTCAACTGTAAGGTACAGTTAAAACTGCTTAGAAAACCCTACACTACCGTTTAAGAGGTCCTCTTCAGGTTTTTAAATTCGGAGAGTTTGTACTAAAAAGTGGCATGAAGTCTCCAATTTATATTGACTTGCGAGAGTGCTTTGGATATGCTGATCTAATGGTTAGTTTAGCTTCTTGAAATTTTAAAAAAGAATTGGCATATTATGGCTTATCCGATTATGGTGAGTTTTGCGATATTTGTTGTGAAAGTAACTATTGTTTGTGTGAAATCATTGACAAATACGTGGTCATATGCATTGACATGGATATATACACGATGTGAGTTTGGCGTATGGATTGACTTAAATTTGTGATGCTTCTGGCGATATTCTCGCAAGAAGTTTTTTTGTCATATTTTTTGTATTCAGCCGACAATTCATCAAACATATGTTGTGCCAGACTTGATCTTTCGAAAACTATTCTCTACACGTAATAAAGGATAAAGTGCTCTCGGTGTTGGTCAATTCCTTAGAGATGCGCCATGAATTCGGCTTCATTAAGGATCGTTTGGAGGTGATTGAATGCATATTTGCCCTTTACAATGACTCGCGGTCTCCTACCGATGTATCGAGCCAGTGTTGCTATCCTCTTAGACAAGTCTGGTACCAATTCGAACACCTTGTAGAGATAGAAGGCTTGATGAGTCAGTGGTGCGGGCATCGATCTCTTGTGTGTTGTAGGGCGTCTCCCGCCTCTACGCAACACGCGCTCTACACGCAGTAATTTGCAAAAACTTTCGAACGAGTTTGGTCCCTCGGCTTCTATTCGAATGGCGGGTTCTAACATGTCTTCTATGTTTGAACACTGAAATGGGAGGCTTTAGTGTACTTCATCGTCACGGCAGGACAGTATATCATTAATGCGACTTCTATAAACGTATCTGTGCTACGGAGTAGTACTGTTCTTGTAGAGAGTGTGCATCATTGAGTGTGAGCAATGCATCTCTTTGGACACACTGCAAATTTTCAGCACTTATTCTCATAACCTTTCACTGATGTTGCAAACATTGTGCTCAAAAAGTTATACGATTCTTATAGTCACCTCTAGCCATATAACGTGGACAGTGTGAAGTTTAAGTATACTTACAACATTATATACGAGTTATATTTCGCAACTTACCCTGCCATTAAAAAGAAAAAGGCAGTAAATAAAAGGGTTAAGAAACTTACAAGCGTTGGTATTCTACAAACTTGGACTTATGCACAATTCCCACGTTTTGGATATTGATAGAACATTTTGGGTATCGGACTGCGATAAACAGTGGGGAATTCATCCCTGGTAGGGTTTCCTAAGCTTAGAAGGAGTCCGGCGTTTCCATCAGGAAGCCTAGCTAATAGTAAACCAATACCAGGATCCACCACCGTCCTGATGTCAAAGTCGCGTGGTGGCGAATCTCCTTCTGATCCACGAGGGCTGCGGCTGCCTGTGGCGGTGAAGACCTGGGGGGGCAGACTTTGGCCAGGCTGATCTCGGGACTGCAGGGAACCATAACGGTTTAACCAGCAAGTCTCCGAAAAATGGAGATTATGCCGGGGCCCACATAACTAGTGAGGACGTGCCATTCAAGTATTCAAGTAAGTAATGGACCATTTTAAACAATAATGCTTATTGTGGCGGCTGAACGTAGTATTGCGAGTTATTTGTGGAGGACGTCATGTTAATATTACTAGTATAATTGATTTCCAGCAACATTTTACCACTCGGATTCTGTTTGACTTTCCTTTGCTTAACTAATCTTACTGCTGCTTGTATACCGATGATGTGTATTCCTCGATCCAACGGTTTGTCTATAAATCCAGTGATAACCGAAACCCATAAATTTGAGCTGTCGTATTCCATGTTTATGGTCCCTATGTAACATGCATGACCGAAATGGGACTTTTCCTCTAAATAGCGCATAGATCTCGTCAGTGCACACCTCCCTGCTGGTTTCTGGACTCCGTTGTAGTTCATATTGGCAAGATAAATGGACTCATGTTGAAATACTGCTCTTATTTGTCATACCGATTATATGTGTTCGTTGTTATTCCATTATCTGCCACGTGTAGGTGGGACAAAAGCCTTTCGAGTCTTTACCTTGATCGACGACCGTCACACCCAAAAATAGAAGTGCATGATAGGAAGCAAAATTTGAAATACTTCAGTAATCCTTCATCCTGAGCTGTTTAATAGTTTTGCATATACCAAGGAATTTCATCTTTTAAACAGCTGTTGGTTGTTATATTTTATCCTTTTTTACTCGGAAAGGGTAACCGTGGTTCGATCTGGACCATGATCCGAGTTTTGCGAAGATCTCAGCATCCTTTTTTTGTCCGTATTCATTGACTTCTTACAAATAGGTTTAAAATATCAACCACAAATAGTTTGTAAAAAAATAAATTCGATCTATACATACAAGCAGCAGTTCATCAGCTTAAAGTTGACTACCGTGGATGATTCAGCGCTCACGAAACCTCAGAACACCGTTGTCCCTATCCCCCAATTAACTTTCTTCAGATTTTTCAACAGAAACCTCTGGTCTTTTCTCCCAGTAAATTGAAAATGAATATCAATTCTTGTGCCACCATCAATCGAACTTCGGTTTTTGATTAGTAGTTTATTGTTCCCTAATTTTCGCTAGAACGATAAGTCATAGTTACTGTATGTATCACCGAATATTAAAAACACCTATGTACACCTTCGCTATCTTACAAAACCAAAACCTGAGACCAAGGGATTGGATGGTACATGAGTGCTCATCACACACGAGAATTAGATATGTTCAGAAAAACATTAAGAGATACCTAGGTGATATAAGGAAACGAAACAAAGACAGAACATCGGAATAGAACATGGCCACTTCTAGAAGCAGATCGAACCACATGCATTGAGTTCAACGCACACTGAGTGCGGGAGAAGTTAAGTGTCGTTTCATGTGGCTGACACACAAAATTAGGCATATTCACTGATTGGCTAGGGTGTCCAAAGCATGATTTCACTTAATGGCAATAGAACGCTAATTTGTTGTAGTATGCGGGCTTGTTACTTGTTCATCCAAATAATTATGCGATAATTAAAGGTGTTGAGGGGCTGGAAACGCGACAGTGTTACAAAAGAAAATTTTCTTATCGGTTTTTATTTATGCATTTAAGTTCTTATTTATTTGTAACACTATCCTAGACGACTTATTCTGCGGATCTTGGGCTTCTTTCACTTGATTGTTTTCCTGACTTGGACCATCCACGAGGGCAACACTCGGTCGGATTAGCTGCTCCCCTTGCTCATGCCACGCGGGCTTTCCATGACTGGGAGGCATATGTTGGGCGCCTCAAACTTGGGTAATTAAACCTCCATGTAAATATTGCTTATAATGATGGGACTTAATTTCGAAATACATGTGCAATAAGTTACAGGTAAGGTGGTCCAGTGGGCAGTAGTAGAATGGCTAACAAGTTGCATTAACAATGACACATGATGTTATTCAGCAGGTTGATGAGCGCATTAGATATAGCTAGGAAATATTGTATTGCTATGACTACACTACAACAACGTTAGGATTTACGCGCTCACAGTGCAGGAATGTGATAGCGTTTAGTAGAGTATCTGTGAACATTGCGAGTATTTAGGATAATTGCTACCTCAACAACACGTATTAGATGTGAGTCACTGATAACCTTAACTTACTGATAATGCAAAAGCTTAAGATTTTAGTTCACAACAATTTTGCACATGCGAATGGAAGGAGTTTTGAAGGAAATATTAAGTGCGAAAGCAAAATGAAGGGGTAGGGCAACGGAGAGCTCCAATGCGTCGTCAGAAGCCAAATGGTCGCGCTAAGAGGTGTTGCTAGATCCGAGCGAGTGGCGTGGGTCGCGGGGTTACGTCACGGGTCGCAAGGTGTCGCCCCTAAACAATGCGCCGTGCCTGGTGTTATGCCCGGTGGTGTGGTGTATCTGATGGTTATAGTTACTGTACTTGCTGGCGTGCCCGATGGCTAGGATGTGATGTGAATGTAGGGTACTCAGCGCCATCAGAACGCATAAAGAATAAAGTTGAAATAGAGAACATTGTTTTCTATTAGTTAATGTTTATTCGACTTGTCGACAATGTGTGAATTTTTTAAAGCTTCATTTTTGTTTTAAGCCTTATTTGAAATTCAGATTTTCAAAACAAGGCAGGGTTTTATCTTGACGGGGAATAAAAACTTATAGTTGATTAAAAAATTTAGGACATGATAGTTGGCTATAATTAAGTCCTTCCCAACGGTTTGCCGCCTCATCGTGGATGGAATGTGCTCCTGGGTGTCGGGCTGCGATGTGCACCATGGGTATCACAACCCTGGCAGGGTCTCCCAAGCTGAGAATGAATTCGGCATTTACATCAGGATGCCCAGCTAAGGGCAACACCAATGCCAGGATCCACCACCGTCCTGGTATCAAATTAGTCGCATGGTGGTAAATCTCCTTCTGATTCACAAAGGCGGCGACTGCCTGCGGTGGTGACGACCTGTGGCGGACTTTGGCCAGGTTGAGTCCGGGACTCCATGGAAGCACTATGGCTAAACAGGCAAAACTCCGAAAAATGGAAAAGGTGCTGGGGGCCGCACAGCCGGTGAGGACGGGCGGTCCAATTGTAGAATTATACGAATGCGTCGTTTCCTTGTTCAGTAATCGCGAGGTTGTTAAACAGCATACATTTAACTCTTTTATTTACTGCCTTTTTCTTCTTAATGGTAGGGTATGTTTCGAATTATAACTCGTATGAAATGCTGAGATATTTGCAAAACTCCGGACCACAGGTGTATGCAGTGGGAACGAACACGCGCTGTTGTCCTTACCGGGGAGCAGCGCACTTCACCACTACACCATCCGGATGAACAACAAGGACAACAACGCGTGTTCGTTCCCCACTGCATACACCTGTGGTCCGGAGTTTTGCAAATATCTCAGCATTTCATACGAGCATACATTTACTTCCATAGAAAAACACAGTGCAATACAGTAGCAGCTGACGTTTCGGCAGTATCGCCTTCTTCATACGAGAGGTACGCGACCTGACCCTGTATGTTCGCATCAATTTCTGATGTGGGATAATGCAGTCATCAACCATATGAGACTATAATCAGCTGTTCTAGTCTTCCTCATTGGAAGTCACGTAAAAAGCGGTGGGTTTTTCGAGAAGCTGTGGATCATGTAATTACCATAGAGTTTTTTGTCTTTTTGTAAGTGTTATTGAAGCGTTTGGCCTAGTAAATTGTATATCAGTATACCCTTCCAGACTTTGAAGAAGGCGATACTGCCGAAACGTCAACTACTTTTGTATTGTATTATTTTTTATGGAAGTAAATATATACTGTTTAACAACCTCGCGATTGCTGAACAAGAAAACGATGCATTCATATTCAAATGCCGAGGTTAATAGAAAGTCGAACCTGGGAACTGTACAAGTATAATTAAATCAGCAGTGAGTTGTCTAATAGTGTAGCGCCGTTCAACTTCAATGACGTTGAAGCCGGTGTGGTTCGATTAATTTTGCTTCGGAACCCAAGCTGAACACAGTTCTGTAAATTGTGGCTACATTTGGGATGTGTTTGTGAGGAAGTTTACCAAATAGAGGATGTGTTGTGGTGACCATTATGAGTAGATTTACCGATCTCTGCTGTAAAATAAGGACTGTTACATACCAAAATTGAGATTATTGGAGGTCTAATGCTGATGTTGCATGTTGTAGCAAGAGATAAGTGGACATAGGTGTGGTGTGTTAGCTAACCACCGTTTTGCAAACAATTCACGACCGAAGAGACATATTCTTCTAAATTGGACAACTAATCGAACTGGCAGGAGTTACGGTTGAATATACATGCCTTACGAATGTGTAAACTGACAATCGCTTCGTGCCGCTCAAAGATGGTCGGCTGCCATCAGTACATCAGTGATCCTCTAAGGGTAGGCCTTCCACAACTGGAGATTCTGCTCAATCCGTAGCGACTACACTTAGGTAGGATTTGCTAATTGACCGAAAGCGTCCCTATACTGATAATTGGCGTCTAAATACTTTTCCTCATTGATAAGCTAAGACGAGTTTAGCAAAAGAGCGCAACTGGAACGAAAGTTGGACAATTTCACTTGTCAGTGCACTATATAGCACGGTTGTTGATACTGATTTTCCGTTGATAATCTTTCGCTTTTCTCCATCGTGCAGCAATTTATTACATTAGTTAGCAGAAAAAGAAGTATTTCTCAAGCAATCAGTGGAAGTCGATTCGGATCAGCATGTCTCTGGAAAGACGCCCAAACGTCGGCCGAATGAATTCTTGAGGCTGAAGAGAATAAATTATGCAGCCTAACGTAATCGGAGCTATGTGATAGTGTTGAAGTGGGAAGGTAAGAGGGACGTAATTATGATATCCGCAGTTCACTGCGCAACGGTTACAACTAACTGACCAAGACCACTGGTTATTGAACTCCACATATAATTTAAGCTATTTTTAATCCGGCATTTTCACGAAATGACACGAGGGATAAAACATTTACCTTTTTTCAAAACCGACTTTCCATGAACCTCGGTATCACTAATCAATATGTATTCTTTCCTTGATGAGCTTACACGAGGTTGATAATGATGTTTATATCTTTCTACTTCTGTTCAGCAAGCACGAGGTGCTATTTTATTTCTTTATTTACGCACAAGCTGACGTTTCGGCGGATTTCGCCTTCCTCAGAGCCTGGAAGGGTCAAGTTGACAGCAATCCACTCGGCCAAACACCTCCATAACCAAACAGAGAAAACGCTAAACCAAGATTTCAATCACGTTGAACACAGCTTTGCACACTCACCGCTTTCTATGAGGTTTCCACTAAGTATGTCACGTAGAGACCAACCGCAAAGAAATCACATGGAAGCGTAATGTGCCTCTACCCATCAGAATAACAGGTTTGTATACTGTCCAATATAAACATATAAACCTGTTATATATATAAACCTTGTATATACATACGCTTCCATGTGAATTCTGTGCGGTCGGTCTTCACGCGGCATACTCAGTGGAAGACTCATAGAAAGCGGTGAGTGTGCAGAGCCATGCTAAATGTGATTGAAATCTTGGTTTAGCGTTTTCTCTGTTTGGTTATCGAGGTGTTTGACCGAGTGGATTGCTGTCAACTTGACCCTTCCAGGCTCTGAGGAAGGCGAAATCCTCCGAACGTCAGCTTGTGCGTAAATAAAGAAATAAAATAGCACCTCGTGCTTGCTGAACAGAAGTAGAAAGATATACTAAATCAATGCCGAGGTTAATAGAAAGTCGGACTTGGGAATGATGTTTATTTTCGGCTAACGTTTCGACGTCTTCGTCTTCCTCAGAGCCGATGATCCGAGTCCATGGTTCTCGCTTGTTATTCGTCTCTACGTGGCAGCTTCGCCTTCGCGTCGAGTCAGGTCTTCTTCAGTGAGCCATCTCCTCGAATGAGGCATCCTTACTCAGTGATCCCCTTTTATACATGATGCCGATGGTGAATATAATGGTAATGTCCGGCGATAACAACTTGTTTTTCTTCCGGACATAATCATCGCGCACACCGTGCTTACCTTTTTGTCAGGTCTTCGAACTCCACTGCAATTTTTACTAGGCGAACGAACAGCTTTTGAAATCCTTCTATTCCTTTTCAACAAGTAATATTAGATATAAAATTGAACAAGGATTTCAGTAGTATTTCAGCCATGGCCGGCCTGGTGGTAGGGTACAATTAATTTTTTCATTTATTTGCCACTGTAGAGAGCTGGAAGTTCAGCAGTGGTGATATCGTTCATTGAACGGATTACCCAACCCACAGAAAAGGTAGTTCGACCCTGTACCAGATCCGCTAATCCTCCAGTTCCTTCAGGATCGGAGAATTAGTATCAGAACTGTCTGGAACAGGTTCACTTCTTTCAGTCCACTTGGGGACGTCCAAGCACGGATATCTCAGGATTCTAGGTCCATCCTTCTGAAAACGATTGAGAAACCTATTTCCATCGCTTCTCGGTCTACATATCTCTAGTAAGATGAATTATCCCCTATCAATCTAAAGAATGCAGAAAATACTTTTTAATTGAAATCCTGTCCAGTGCGTGCAACACTTTAGGATCTTGCTTCCGATGGTATCAAGTATTTGATTCAAGAGACTGATACATGTTTTGATGGTATCGTTGGTGTACCCTATGCCGCTTTGCCGTACGCAACTGTATGTCACTTTCGCTTTAGTGTTCAGGATATTTCATATGGTTTTAAGACGGGAATTTGAAATGCCATGCTTCATCCGCTTTTCAGTTGGTGTCTTTTCGTTGCAAGAAGCCGCTTATTATTATTAGAAAAGAGGCGAAAACGTATGGTACCAAGAAATTAATTGAAGGTGTTTATGATAAAGGTGCTAAAGTGATCATCATCGAGGACGTTGTAACAACTGGAGGAAGTATTAGAGAGGTAAGTTCCAACAACTTTGAGGATTAACACATGTATGAAACGTACTCTCCATGCTTACTTGCAATTAGTTATTTTTCTTAAGAATCGTCTACATATTTGGATTAAAAGCTGTACATATACATATAGCTGTACATATAGGTCGTAAGCACTTTACGCGCTGAAAGTCTCGTAGTTGAGGACGTATTCTGCATTCTTGACCGTGAACAAGGTGCTGCAGCGAAACTTAAGGAGGACGGGATCACGCTGCACAGATATGTAGTCTCGGTTTTTCCATCCAAGAAATTATTCTTATTCAGTAGTCTGGATTTTTAATCACATTGCATTTTGTGAATATGTGGTAAACAGTGTTGAAATATTCACCGAATCATCAGCGTAATATTGCCAATATGTCCAGAAACGATTGAAGGCATGATTGATTTGAGTTTAATTATCGTAGAACTTACAATCGTGAGTTTTGGCAAGTCCTTGACGTTTTTATAAGGACCATTTCGATGGTTTGGCTTCTGCAGGTGACTAACATCTATCATTATAGTGAAGTCATCGTTTATTGCTTTCATTTTCAGTCTTCTTAATATGGAGGCCGTAATCTGTTTCCTCCGATCTGTTGGCGTTATTAATGCTGAAACTTGTTCAGATATTATTGCAGTTAGTTTCAAAATAAGAACTTAAACATATAAATCTCTCTTTATTGAAGGACTATACTTTCCTAGGCACTAAATCTCAGCTACAAGGAGGTAACGCTTTTACAGATATCTTCGGAAATGGAAGACCTAGCGAGTCTTCCAGTTCAGAACTTGGTAGGAGCACTTGTTTGTTGCTATGCTGTTTTTTTTCTCAGAATTTCTAAGATAGTTGAACACTTAGGCACGTTTACCTCTGCATGAACGCGCGAAAGAAGCTGTCTGTTCTTTGAATAAAAAAATTTTCTCGTTAATACTCAAGAAGAACTCTAATCTTTGTCTTGCAGTGGACTATACTGAAGCAGACAAGATTATTCAGGTGAAAATTCTTCCATTTTAGATCATAGACTCATAGACATAGAACATCCAGCCATAGACTTTTACTGTAGTAGGTTGATGAGTAAATTTTAATAAACAAGTCATCCTTTGACTAGTAATTGTATTGAAAACTTGTAGTTGAGACTCGCCTGTCTTGGCGGTGATTGTCCTCGTATAATTCCAACGAAGTGCTTAAAATTACAGCTGGTTGAGAAAGCAGGTCCATTTGTCATAGCCATCAAAGTGCATGCTGACGCAATCGTGGACTTCTCCAAAGACTTCACTGCACGATTAGTCCGGCTGGCTAAGGACCACGAATTTTTCATTTTCGAAGACAGGTATTCAAAAGGTGTCATAATTCTTTAAAAATTCTAGGTTAGTTCATTTTTTTAGGAAATTCGGCGATACAGGAAACACTAATCTTCTTCAGCTGAAAGGAGCTCTTCATGTGGCCGAATGGGCTGATTTGGTCACAGTTTATGCGACGCAAGGTTTTGAGTCAATAGGACCAGCTTTTCGTCAGGTAGTTTCATCTCGAATTCTCGTTTCATTTTTAACGAAGTAGCACGGTTTACCTAGATTCAGAAGGTATATTAATGGTTTATCTCTGCCCTGCTTTTTATTCTCTGAGAAGAATAGTAACTGAGCATATTAATGTTTTTGGGAATTAGTTTTTGAATTTAGCGGCTTTTTCTCCTTTTGACGATGAATGAAAACTTGCACGAAGGAGGCGATCGTCTGATCCCGTGTAAAATTTTGGGACAACAGCGACATGGGTAAGGGGAAACCTTCGATTTATTATGTGGTTTGTTTCGTTGTGACTTTCTCCATTGGAAGACTCCCACCTACAGCGTTGAGGGTGGGGCTTCTGGAATTGCGAGTTACTATGAATCATTGGTCGCCATGATAAACTCAGACAGCCGCTCATCCTGTTCGTTCCATTCTAATCCGTGTGTCCCAATGTGACGTTGTTCAGACCTTCTTGTTTCAGTCTTAGCGTTAAAATCTCCAATGAAGACCTTGAAGAATGTATTGTATTCTCTGCAGAACTCCTCCAAGTCCATGTGGAAGGCTTAGACTTCTTTTTTGTCATTGTTTGATGTCGGCGCGTAAACGACGAAGATTGTCAAAGCCGTAATTGATCCATAGCTTTTTAATCGTAAACGTCCGATTCGTGTTGTTAGTTGTTCGAATGAATCGATGTTCATGGACAAACTCGTGTTGACGAGAACGCCGACGCAGGCGACTCCACTACTGTCGCATGTTCCGAAGGACAGTTCTTCTCCGGTGTCATACACGGCGTTGAATGGGTGGCGTCGTCTCGTCTCAACCAGTTCGATGACGTGTACCTTACCCTTCTTGCTTGCATGATCAAGTCTTCTATCGAGTATTTAAGTGCGAGTGTGCGGGCATTGTAGGTATAGATCGTCATCTTAGTTCTTTGCGATTTAGGCAGCCTAGAATGGCTTTGAGATTTCAGCAGTCTCTCCGTACTCGTTCTACCCTACGCTGCCGCATCGTGGGCTCTTTCGGGGTCAGGAGAATGAGGGCTCTTTATTTTACTGTGTTAAATCTTTTGGTAGGGCGAATGCGGCCCAGATATGCATTCAGTCACCTCCAACGATACTTAATGCAGTGGAATGCATGGCGTATTCCTCAGTGATGGATCAACGCCGAAAACTTTATCCTTTTTATTCTTTTAGCCTTTTGATACCTACGTATAGCTTACTGATCTCGGAATATAGGGGTTGATTATACTCAGAGGTAGCTTGCCAATCTCTTCCAGAGTAGACAAGAAACTTATTTGTTGGAGGCAACTCGTAACCGCCTCCCTTGTACTTCCGTTTCACGTGATTGCAGGGTTTAGCCGAATCGACTCGTAGAATACAATTCACATAAAAAAGAACATTACTACGCTCATATGCATGAATACGCCCTCATAAATACAGAAGGTATGTGCCAAATCGGCACAGCACAAAGGGAGTACCATTTCCTGGATCCACCTGGGTTTCAGAGAAGCAAAGTTCCGTTTTGGTTCGCGATCCGGCACCTAGCGACGCACCAGGTTGTCACCAGCAAGAGTTCCCTTTATGGGGGTGATCTGTAGCTTAAGCACTCGTACGAGGGTAATATGAAAGTCGGTTTTCGTTGAGGTTCTGCAATTTGTAAATGCTATTCAAATATTGCAAATTCCAAGAAATACAGGTTAGAAAATAGACTTTTTGAGCAAGACTTTTGTGAAATGCACACTATGTGTGGGGCTAGCTCTTTTCTGAAAAATAGTGTTGGTGATATTATGTATGAAACTGTTGCAGTTAAAAAAATGTGCAAGTCTCCTTAATTTTCTACCGTCTGATCGCTGCGAAAGAAGCAAGCATGTACGAAAAAATCTTTTTATGGAAAATTATATATAGGAACTATATATAATTCTTATAAACTTTTTATGTACTACTCTTGGTCCAAAATACATGCTGGGTTGGCCATTGATTTAATACAGAAAATTGAGCAAAACAACTTGCGAAACCAAGCAAAACACTAGAAAATGGACCATGCATGGTCCATACAGTCGCAAATGTGTCAAATTCAAAGAAATGACTAGAAAAACTTAGCATCCAGTGAGCAGTTAGTTTAAACTATGTATGTTCATATGTTTCTGAATACAAAAATAGTCACTTTTTGAGCCTCCTGCCATTTAGGTTGTCCTGGATCCTGCATACCGCTTGAGTGGGATTTTGCTTATCGCACAGCTTAGCACGAAGGGCTCTCTCACTTCTCTTCCTGGCTATACCCAAGGTGGATACTATGTTTACTTTATTTTCGAGGCATACATTACAAAAGAATCTATAGCGGTAACTGAGATGGGTGAAGCCAACCAAGATGTGGTTTGTGGTTTCATCTGCCAAGCTCGTGTTTCATCTCATCCACACATGCTTCACTGGACTCCTGGTAAGCACATTGACATAATCGTCTGTAAAACATTTTATAGAAAATAGCAAAAGTTGTCAACTAGTTATACTAAGGCAAATACGAAGCTGATGCAAAACAACTTAGGTGTGAACCTGGACGCCACCTCAGATAATGCTGGACAACAGTGGAGAGATCTCGATGAGGTTATTCGTTTGCAGAGATAGTAACACAACTCAATATCACTCGTAAATGTTGTTAAATTTAAATTAATTAAATGACGTCGTATAAGTTAGTAGTAGTTCTAACTGTAGCAGCACCAAGATTTTATAATTGCGTAAAGAGGCCTGTATCCACTGCCTGTTTCAAGCTCAATTTTGTACGCTGTCAGCTATTCGCAATGCTTTGATGATTACGCATTTGCACAGACGTGTTTTTGTTTAACAGATTTATACCTTCAGGCAATTATACGCCAACAAAACGACATAGTGATCGTTGGTAGAGGAGTAACTTCGAGTACGAGTCCCATCCAGGAGTTGACTCGCTATAGAGAGGCGGGTTGGACAGCACTTATGGCAAAGAACTAGAGGAATCTTTGGTTTTGTTTGTTCTTTACTGTGAAGCTAGGACCTTTCAGTAAGGTTTTGCCTTTGGCACAACGACCTATTCTGGTCCTATTGTGGTTTCTTTCGGTGCTTTGACTGCCAGTTATTGTTAAATTGCTATTTTTACATGCTTTCTCCGGTAATTTGTTAGGTTTTTATTTGAAGTTCTTCATAGTTTTATTACTAATTTATGAAAAGAAAAGTTACTTGGGTCAGATAGAAATTCTCGAACTTTCATGAACATGGATTTAAGCCCTACCCGTAATGGTTATTGTTGATGTTTCCCTGCCGGGGAAGTCGATCTTTTACGGCTTTATTCTGGAAGACATCGTACGGCTAAAACTAAAATTCTTTAATAAGAAAGATATAACAGCTCTTCTTGGAAGATCGACTTTTTCCTCTAACTCTCGTGTAACAGTGATTATCGTATTCCCTGGAGTGTTTTGTGTCTTGAAATCGTTGAGACTTACCGTCCATAAAAGTGTCGTTACAGAAACGGCGTTTTGCCTTGCTATGCTTCATGGAGTCGTTCCGACGCGAACCATGAAGCATGTTCTGCAAGTTCTCACTGCGACGTAACGGACGTTTACATGCTGTCCAACATGCTTTATGTGGCGTCCAGTCCTTGCCTTCACTCGCTAGCACGCTGAAAACAGTGCAACGTGAAACGAGGACTTGCTTGATTGTTTCTTGAATTTGCTTTGTTTTAGACTACGATTATTTTATGGCTGTGGAATTCTGCTACAAGGAAAGTCCGGAAGCGAAGTCCAAGCGTGCGAAGAGTGTTACTTCATTAGTTAATGCGCATTTTTTTTTATTTTAATTTTATTTGGTCCGTCTTCACGTGTACTGTGCGGATCTCAGCACTTCTCACATCCAATTCGTTTCCTCGCATCCCTCGTCCACGAAGATCTTCCAAGTTTTTAAATATGGCTTCCGTTGCTGCTTGAGAATTTTCGTTTCATCTTGAATGTCGTAGAATGCTGGTCGAGCAATTTTTCCTGGTGTCCTGAGATGGTCGGGCTGGAGCGTTCCCATTTGGATTGTAGAGAATGGTTTTTTCCCAGAGAAGTCTGGTACCAATTTCCCGACGCGGGAAGTTGAGAGGCTTGGTTGGTCCAGAGCGGAATCAAACTAGCACCTTGCTTGTGATCTCGGACATCACTACCACTGTGCTATCTGCCACTTGTTAATGCACAGTTGAAACCTTCAAATGTGCAACAATCCTCAAACTCTTGTAATAATTTTTCTGCAAGATGCGTAAAACTAGAGAAACCTGTAATTACGGTTGGCAATCCGGGAAAATGGTGGAATTTGGTAGAGTAGGAACCGGCGATATGTGCTGCATATAGTGTAGCTCTTATAGGACTACTAGAACGTTTTTATAATCAAGTCATACCTTCAGAACTGTCGATCTCTGGCATAATGCCATCAGAAACAACAACGAATTGGAATTTGTTAGTCCGGGATCAATGGCGGCGTATTTCTAAATTCTTAATCGTAGAATTCCATTCAAAACATTGGATCTGACTGTTTAGTCTTTTTCACCGAGCGCAGAATGAGTCCTGTGTGGCCCTGCTGGTGGCGGTGGCTGTGCTCTTTCAGTGGTTACTACCACCTTTATTTAGCAGCATGTTCTCGTCGGACGTCAGTTCTGTGCTAAATGAAAAACCTTCTTTATTTTTATTATTTTTATTCATATGTGGCCGTCACATGAGTATTTTGTATCCTTTGTGAATGTCGTTGAATGCAGATCGAGTTGATTTCATTTGCAATCCTGTGATTGCTGTACTGGAGTCTTCCTAGGTTTTTACCACAGAAACGGTTGATGGTTACAGGAGTACATACTTATCAGACAGTTCTAATACCCAAACTCGATACGATACTAGGCTTGGTTGACATTCGGCGAGTCAACCAGCAACCATGCTTGCACGGTAGCTCAAAACACTGTGCACCAATATGTAAAAAATGATTCCATCGGCTTAGGCATAGTATCTGTAGAGGTAATTATCGATTAGATGCGTTAAGCATAGCAATGAACGCTATCCAGAAAAGATATTACCGAGAGCACGATGAGTCTTATATAACCCATATCAGCTAGTGTACTACCACGTTTGAGTCATGTTTGATTTATTTCAAACCGAGCGGATTAAGTGAGTTCAAAACATAACGAACAAATATAAAACAATCCCCAAGACCGACTTTCTGTTAACCTCGGCATTAATTGATAATTCAATGTTTTTCATCAATAAGCAGACACGAGGTTGTTAATATAGAATTTATTAGAACACAATTGCTGACGTCTCGGCGGTTTCGCCTTCTTCAGAGCCGTTTATTTGTTGTAAGTATTTAAGTTAGTTGGTGGATAGCCGCCGCACAGAGTAATACATGGTCGATAATTGTCAATCGTACTGAGTCGCATGCACATCCTCGTGTGGTGAATCAGCAACCGTTTTTTGGTTCTCACTGGTTCCTTCTCTAAAATCGACGAACATTAGAATCATAAAAGTTGATTAGAATTCGATAGATAAAACGGACCAATGTATTCAAATCAATCTGTCGTACTAAGTACCACTATTCCCAAATCACAAGACAACAAGAGCTCGAAGCAGAACTGTACCTTTCCATTGAATCCTGGGTTGGTTCTATTCTCAATCAATCTTTCTCCCTTCTTTTGTCTTCAGTCTCTGCTGCATCCTTATCACTCTTGCTAAACCTTTCGATTCTACCTGTCTTTATCGCTAAGACGTCCTCTTCGTTAAACATATCACCCATCGCATCTAGAAACATCATTTAAACACAGACTTTCATAAGAAAGTGAAGCCAAAACATACCCCTTTCCGGTGAACCTCTTCCACAACAGTGCGAACTCGGCTCCTCATAATCGCTCTAAACGCAGTTTGTTTTAGTTTCGTTACATAAAATGGCCTCTCTTTATTTGATGCTATAGTTGTGGAATTATTCAAGTTGTACTGAAACAGTGGAAATTACCACAAGCAGAAGTGCGCAGAAATAATGACGTAAGAAGATATTGGTGTGATAGGAAATGTAGTCTAGCAAACCACAAGTTTTTGGACCTCTAAGAAAATGTACCGCGACTCGAACCAGTTTCTTACTTACTTGGATACTTGGAAGGCCCGTCTTCACCAGTGGTGCAGGCCCCAGCATAATTTCCGTTCGTTTGTTTCAAGCGCAGTCGCCATCCATGATGATGATGGTTTGCAACGTAGTGACTTCCGCGAGGCTCATTCCGTAATTCTGAAATCGTTGCCAGGTGCAGATGGCTAACATTAGCACGAACAGGTCCACCCATCGTTTCACTGGTCTTCGAAGAGAACGCTTGCATTCTCTTGTGGTCCACTCCACTGTTAGTTTCGTCTGTTTCTCATTTGTCCTTCTTATTACGTGGACAGCTCATCCGCATTTTGCAAAATGCACATTCTCCTGGATCTAGAAGATTGGACGAGTTTCCAAGATCTAAGCTGCGCAGTCCGGCTACACGTTATCAGTGCCGATTAAATTTTAGGAGTTATAGTTGAAGTGCTTCGTGAAGGCGAGATTTCTTGACGTAGTTGAAGGATCAGCCCACGTTTCTAGTGCATAAAAGAACTCTGAGAGGATTGTTGAACCGGAAATGTGAGCGCGGAGTTTTACGTCCTTTAGTTGGCAGATAGCTTTTTTGAGTGGTCGAAATGCCCCGTTCTGCTCTCCTTCTTCTGTCTAGTTATTCGTTCATGTTACTTTCCATGTCCATTGAACGTACATGGTACACAAACGGGCTGGCTCTATCTCCGCCTTCGCACCATGGACTCTTCACGAAGCGAGTCTTCGTACTCCTTATGTGCAGTCGAATCTTTATATCTTTCTTTAAGTTTCGTTGAGTTCATTGAGCATCATCTTCGCTTTACAGGTAATCCTCAGAAAATGGCGATTTCATCCACGAAAAAAAGGTTTGATAGGAATTTTCAATCAGTACATATAATTGTGTCATCCGAATCGGGTAACTTCGTTATCTACAGCAGTCTAGCAGTAAACAGCTTTGTCGATGTTGTGCCGTCTTTCCGAACCCCTTCTATGGATATGGTGAGAGGTCGATGAAAAAGCTGTATATATGTGCTAAATTTTCTATAAGAGTAAGCCAATGATCGTACAGGCGACTCTACTCCTTCATCGACTAATACTGACAGGATTGTATTTGTTTTGACGGTGTCAAGTGCTTTCTCGTAGTTAATAAAAGCTAGAACAAGAGACAGATAATACTTCTGACAGAAAGCCTTGATCCTGGACATGGTCCGGATGTGGTCCATACAGCAAAATCCCTATTGGCCTCATCCAAGGTGATATGTGCAATGGGATAGCCATGAACAGCATGTAGACGACACTCAAGAAACATACTAGAAGATAGTTACGAAAATCCCTCGGTCACCTTTCCTGGGCAGGATGACCGCGCCCGACGTTCTCCGCTAGTCTGAGATTTCCTCTTTCTGATGGTAGTGTCATGTAAGTTGCCAGAAGTGCACGTAACTGGTGGCCTCCAAAGACTTACCGTCTCATCGTGGCGGGGAGATGTGCTTGGGTGCCGGACTACGGTGCGTAGCGGGGGATTCATTTCCACAACAGAGTCTCGCGAGCCGAGGAGTTTCAAATTTCCATCGGGAAGCGAAGGTAAGAGTATACCAATACCACAGATCACTACCGTCCTGGTTTCAGCTTTGTCGCAAGGTGACAGATCCCTCTTTGATCCACAGGAGCCTGCCACTTGATGAGGTGGTGAGGTCCTAAGAAAGGTTTCGGTTAGGTTGATCTCGGGGTTCCAGGAACCACATTGGTTAAATCAGCAGAGGTCCAGTGTCAGAACTCCACAACTACGCGCCACTGTTCACGACGTCGGGTGGTGAGACAACCGATGAGAGGCGATCAAAGCATGAATTGGACAGGGCCTCGTTGGTTGTGGAACAAACGCCTAGGCCCATGATACGCCAAAGAAGCTGCTTCTTGCTCCACACCAATAGCGCCAGAACAACCTCTTCAGATGCCGACCTTTACACTCTTTTTGAGGTCGCTGGCTTCATCAAATTCCATATGGTCGTCCCATGAGAGACGGAAAAAAAGATTAACATGCGCTAACTAAATCACGGAAACCCTGAAGTTCGTGGAGGGAAATTTTCGTCACGAAATATGTGAGGCGTTCGCTTTGTCTTAAATCCATCAATTTCTCAACTTATACGAAATCCGTTTGACTAATCTTCGTCTAAAACTTCCATGTCAAAAGAAAGCCAGCATCATCAACTGCTACCCACCAATTTCTACATCTGATGAAAGCGAATTGCACGCACTCTAAAACGAGTTGGAGAAAGTACTTCGCGACGAAAAATCCTTCCATAAATTCGTTAATGCAAACTTCAATGCTGCATTAAGAAAGCCTAGTGAAAATGAATCCATGATAGGAAAATCCGAAATAGGAAATCAAAATCAGAATGGAAGCCGTCTCATAGGACTCTGCTCGCAGGGTGTCTCTTCCGTAGTAATTACTTTTTTTGAGAACAAAGAAAGTCCTAGATGGACATGGAGGTTAATTAAGGACACAGCTCATGCGGAGATCGATCATATTCTTACAAAAAGAAAATAGTTCCTCTATGACACCAGTGGTACCTGGACTCTGCTGGATCAGAGCATCGCCATTTCTGCTATCCGCCTTTATGAACGAAGATGGGACTAATCACAATTTTAACTTAGTATTTACTGCCTACTCTTTCTAACGGCAGGGTAGATATTGCGAAATATAACTCCGATGATGCTGAGATATTTGCAAAACTCCGGACCGCAGGTGTCTGCGGTGGGGAACGAACGCGCTATTGTCCTTTCCGGTGAGCGACGTGTGCACCACCACACCATGCGGGTCCTTCGTTTCGCCTGTCTCTCAGCTAGTTCAATCGATCTTTTCCCATCAGCAATCAGCGTTAGCGGGATTGATCTGGGGAGCACAAATCGGCATTGAACCCAGTTAAGCTGAGACATGCGAAACGAAGGATCCGATTGGTGTGGTGGTAAATGCGTTACTCCCCGGAAAGGACAATAGCGCGTTCGTTCCCCACCGCAGACATCTGCGGTCCGGAGTTTGGCAAACATCTCAGTATCATTAAATATGGGACTACTACCACATCCGGTTATTATATGGAACTAATAACGAAAAAGTTCTTCACCAATTGCAATAGTGGAAAACAAAAACGATTCTTATTTTCGATAAAAATTAATAGTAGTGATGTACCATATTCCAAAGCAACCTATCAGTTACCAAATTCGTGTTATTTTCTCGTATATGCCCAAGTATAAGATTGAGCCGTTCTCGATCGAGACCGCCACCACACCTGTGTTGAATAAGTTATAGAATGAAAACGAAAAGCTGCAAGGAAACTCCAAGGAATAAAACAAAGATAGCGCCCAAAGCAGAAAAAAAGGACCCATATACGACTTCTGCCAGTCAATTTCAACCAAACGCATTAGTCATGTATTATTCATGTCGTCGCCAATGTGTTAAAAGTTAGGGACGACCGGCGAAAGAGCTTAAAAACAATGATAAAAACAATGTTATAGAACAAAACGCTAGCAGCTGCTCAAAAGATATCACCGCAACCAGCGCTTTCGATGTATTATATACGCATACATAAAAGGATAAAGCTCTTGGCGCTGATCAATCCCTAAGGGATGCGCCATGCATTCGACTTTATTAAGTATTGTTTGGAGGTGATTGAATGCATACCTGGCCTTTACAATGACTCGCGGTGGCCTACAGATGTATCGAGCCAGTGCTGCTATCGTCTCAGACAAGTCTGGTACCATTTCGACGACCCCAAAGGGATGGAAGACTTGGCGGACCACGGGCGTGGGGATCGATTCCATCTGCATTGCAGAGCGCCTCAAAAGCGAACCTTCACTAGGATGCTGAGATATCAGCGAGCAGATAGGAAGCGAGTTCGCTCCCGAGTTTCGCTCGTATCCCAGCATCTTTGTGGTTGTGTTTCACACAATACCCTCTCATGAAAGGTAATAAACAGTACATAATAGTTTAAAAAATCTTAATTAACATGTCGTCATTACTGAAATCAACCTGCACTGTCTAACCGTAAACTAACCATTTCTCAGAGTTACGCTCACAAGACCCACTCATTACGTGTCGTCAACATAAGTCAGTTGACGTTAACAAGAATCTTTGCAAAAGATAATACTGAAACACTAAAGATTACGCTTGGATGAATCAGTCATAGCAGATCAATATGTGAAGGAATTTCTCTATCCGGTTTCACAACAGTAAAATATTGACGTCGGGGTGCACCTGTGTTGCAAATGGTTGACTTTTACTCACAAAATGTGCTGAGAGTTTTGTGTCCTAGCTACTTATTACTTGCCAGTGCTTCCATATATTTTAAACATTTTATGAGTGGTCAAAAAGTCAAAGGAATAACGAGGTCGTCCCGGTTGTGAAACGAACGATTATTGATTGACTCACTGTTCTCATAGCCGTGGAGTCTCCGTCGTCTTCCGGCGCTGTAGGAGTGCACTGGTTTCTTTCTCATGAGAAACGAGAATCTATAAAGCTCTGAAGTTGATGTCTGGTTTCTGAGTCCACTTTTCTTGCATATTTTTTGGCAAGTTTTTTGTCGAACGCTATGCTACTATATATCATTGCAAAGCTCATCTTATGCATTTCGCTCCATCTGGCTGAATTGCGACACAAATTGTTTCACCAGCACTTGTGAGTTGAAATATGTGAGTCTGGAGCGGATAGCACACACACTGGTAGTGATGTCGGTCACCACGAGCATGCTGCTAATTCGATTCTGCTCTGAGCTAACCAAGCCTTTCATCCCTCCGTGGTCGGGAAATTGGTACCGGACTTGTCCAGAAAAAATTACTTTATGCAGTTCAATTGGGTACGCTTCAGTCCGGCTATCTCAGAACTCCAGGAGGAATCAACTCGGCCACCATTCTACGACATTCAAGATGAAGTGAAAAATCCTCAAACAGTAGCCGAGACCACACGCAAAAGTTGGAAGATCTTCGGGGACAATGAATGCGAGGAAACGAATCCAATGTGAGAAGTGCTGGGATTCGGGCATTAGAAATGAAAACGGGTCGTGTGAAGTAAAAAAAATAAAATATGTGAGCTTTGTGAATTTCGTAGGCTAGAAACTGGGATGTAAAAACAGCGATTTCGACAAATCTACTCGAACAAGTGCAAACGCGGACGAACGAAGAGCTAACGGCTCGAAACTCCAGCAAGATGCGCGGCCAAGGATGTGCTAATGAACACTCAGTGCTTGAGTTAGAAAAATTTCGCGGTGGCGAATTCGTTATTGAAGATGAGGGAGGTCGCAAACGTCCTTCTGCTATCGATGATTTCGGAGCATTTAAAAAGCTGAAAACTCGACAAGTGGGTGTCGCAAGATTGAATAACAGTCGAAGAAGTGCCGTTTTGAGGATTGGTCGGTGCTCCTTCTACCGTAACGTGTGATGAGAGGCGATTCTGGGTGATTTAATGTCAGCGCATCAGCTCGAAAGCTTCTAGGGACTAGAATTAATCGATAAATTTAAACGCTTATTTTTTCATGAACTATTGTGAAATTTAACTACCGTAATGCTGAGAAATTTGCAAAACTCCGGACCGCAGGTGTCTGCGGTGGGGAACGAACGCGCTATTGTCCTTTCCGGGGAGTAACGCGTTTATAACTACATCCTCAGCTTAACTGGGTTCAATGCCGATTTGGGCTCTCCAGATCAACCCGTTGGCGGGTGATTGCTGATGGGCAAAGGATCGATAAAACAGCTGAGAAAGATGCGAAACGAAGGACCCGCATAGTGTGGTGGTAAACGCGTTACTCCCCGGAAAGGACAATAGCGCATTCGTTCCCTACCGAAGACACCTGTGGTCCTCAGTTTTGCAAATATCTCAGCATTATAGTAGTTATTGTGAAATTGTTGCATAAACTTGCTGCATTTCGTTTCGAAGTTTATAATGGTCTGTTCCAAGGAATGGCTTAAGATGTGAAGAAATCCGAATTTATAATGCTTGGATTCAGTCCCTTGTTCTTTTTCTTTTTTTCCGATTCTTCGAAAAATCTTGGAAGAAAAAAGACACTGTTGGGTTCTATGAAGAACTTGGGAAGCTACATCGGTTAGGACTTTCAGCGTTGCGAGAAGTGCTTTGAGATTTGTGAATTACCGTTGATGGTTTTGATCACCATAAAGAGACCACCCTATCAACCACCATCCGTTCCATTCTAATTGATGGGTCTCGAATAAGGTGCTTCAGATATTCTTCAAACTCTGTAAATGATCGTCATGGCTTATTCAATGACACGGCATTCATTTAACACTTTTAGATTGCCTCATCAGATTCCTAGTTAGGGATTCAGGTGAAAGCGCACGTGCACCGCATTTACAAATTATCCCACAGTATCTCCAGATTTAGGCAGCATAGATATCCGTTGAGATTTCAGGCGATTTTGCAATGCTAATACTTCAAAGTGGAGCATTCCTGGTGCTCAGGGAGTGACACCCTAAACTTCACCTTTCTTTTCCGATTTCCCTCAGGCGAAGCCTACCCAAAAGTAGTTGACGAATGCTTTTCCCTATGCGATGAATGCACTTAATTAGGTTTCCGTGCTTTCCGGAGCAGATGTGGTACTTCTTTGTTTAACTCCACTAAATGTTGAGGAGTACATGAATGTTTCTGCGGAAGCACATGAAAATGTGCTGGCACATCCAGAATGAATATGTCATTGAAGTCCCTGTATAGGCCAAACATACACTCGATCACCTCTGTCCTCTTTACGAAGACAACAACAATGTTCGCTGAGTCGGTATGATAGTAGTAGGCGAACCGTTGGTTTGATCTGCATTCAGCCAACTCCATGCTGTTGGCGGAAGCGATACGTAACATCGTGATAACGACTTGGAGTATTTTCTCGAATATCCACTGTTCGTAAGAACAACGATTGGTTTCCTATTCTGTGGATGTAAATCGATTTCAAAATCGGCCACAATCATAGCCGAATTAAGAACTGAGAGAGGCGTAGTGAACGCCGACGCGACCTCTTGAGCACTCCCGCATCAAGGTCTTTCCAAACTCGATTTGTTCATTTTGTTCAAACTCTCTACGATTTTTGCTCACTCTAACTCTTTATTTCAGAGTCTTATCTACTTTCGGTTCAACAATTGATTTCGCATAAGTTTATGAGTACATGCAATCCTGATAACAATCCTAGCTGGGGCACTAGTTCTGCATTTCTTAGGCGCGTTCTGTTCTTATTTAAAAAACTTTAAAGGACATAAGGAAATGCTAATGTACTTAAAAATTATGGTGCTAGTAATCTTTCGTTATCTTGATTCCTTGATAGTTTGCCATCATTTCATGGCCGGAATATATTTGCAAGGTACGGTGGAGGTTTCACCAGGGTTTACCTGAAACTCAATTTAAGAGTAGGCTTGTACTGTCACGAGGAGCCAACCGTTAATACCTCTTGCCGAAGGAGCAAAGGAAAAATGCTCCTACCAGAAATTTGGGGATTTACGCTATCCATGGGTGGAGTGGAGAATGCTGAAGAGCTCCAATCTGCAAACTTCATAGAAATCATGTAATAACACTCCATGCTTCACAAAACATCTCTAAAATTGCCAAAAATAATAGTCTTTAGTTTTCCAACAACACTTAATGCTGTGTCTCTATCTCGTAACTTCTTATTCGGCAAGGAATTCTTAATAAAACTGGTAACATCGGAAATTTGTTCTCTATTGTTGAACTAAATTATCAGGAAATTTATTCAACGTGTTAACAATCATCGCTTTTGTGGTTCTTAACGGAATGTTTGAAGAAAAGCACTTCCACGGATAGGTCTGTGGAGATGTTCTGGCCATCGAAAGCCATATTTTGAAGCATCACATATATACTGTTATATGAAGTTATTCTGGAATTTTATTACCATCAATGTATAACAAAACTCTTAACAATCTGAAATTCGGTAGTGCTCGGCATTTAGAGGTCTCCTGAGCTGAGCTTAAAAGAAATTCCATCCAAGCTCGATTAGTGTATAATGAGCTAACATATAGCCGTATTATTGTGTAGTAGACCAACGTGCTGACACTTCTAACATTTTTGTTTCATTCTTGCAATCTTAGAGATAACCGAGCTAATATGCATTCCCATATGGGATTGATGGAGAGCGTTGGTGACGGATCGAACCACCCACCTTTATTTCTGCTGGACTGCATCATTAACCACTGCACTAGCACACCCCTTCCTCACGACCACCTATATGAACAAATAGGTCATGACAACAAGTTTAGATAAACAGGAACAAATCATAGCCGAAGCTATCATCGAAATTTTCGACTAGTCTAATCATCTTTTGCAAATATAAGTAGACGTTCATGAAGAGGCGTACTTGTGGCTGGACTAAATGCTGCTACAGGGTAGCTCGTAGTTAAGCCACCTGAACTTTTTCAAACAACACAGACGAGTTGAATGCTCATAAAATATCTCTTTCAAGAAAGAATTTGCCTTTGCCGCTTGAAAATTTTAACGATTCCAAGGATTATGGGGAGGTGAAAAAATTCTCCATTAGTGGACTATTGCTCCAGAAGAAAGAATTTTATATTAGTTGGTATTCATATGATATAATTGTTATATTCCAAAAAATCTTAGGCAAAGCTGGTTTTTAGACTGTTGTTTAAGTGCACTGTTTTCACGGTTTTTCTCGTAAAATCTAATGGCTTTCTAAAATATTATAATAAATAGCTTCAGTGGAAACACAAAACCCTCAATTTTTTTTCGACCTTTCACGATATAAATGCTCAGTGGTTCAGCGCCTCACCATGCCTAAACGCTGTACCTGAGTATAGAACTTAGATGTGCAGAAAACCTTTTCTAGAAAAAGTCACACAATCTGAAGATTTTCGCTGACAATTCCATCCGAAATGACGAGCGACAGTACGTATATTCCACAGTGGAGGCCAACAGGTTGCACTGCCACCAAAAACCCATGCTCTAGATGCTGGTCTTCTGTGTCTTTTTGGGCGAGCAAAGCCTGTATCGGTTATAGTGCGAAACGTGAGCGAATGAAGATTACTGTACCGCGTTTGTATTACTCAATGGCTTAAGGTATTGACTCCATGTAAAAAATTCACGGAAAAAAAATGGAAAATTCACGTTGGAACCAACGTGTGCACGGGAACAGAGCAGAGAGAGGAGTCCCGGAACTTGGCACGGCAAATAGCCGTTTCTAATGCCTACGAAACTGTAGTTCAGGATAGGTGTAGGGGGGATCCTAAGCCTCCAAACAACATCTCTAGCGATAGAAGGGTCCCGTTTATCCTACCCTTCATCTCAAATGATATAAGTACTGCTATAAAACGCAGCTTAAGAAGGGCGGGCTTAGAGAATTCGGTAAGCATAGTTGAAATACTACTGAGTAATCTTAAGCGCCAGCTAGTTCGTAACCGCCTATATGACTGTCTATGTGCAACTCAAAATTGCATAATTTGCCCCAGTGGTAGAGACGGTGATTGCATGAGCTCGGGTATAGTTTATCTGATCTCCTGTAGGACGTGCGGTGACGAATACATTGGCGAAACGGGTGGACCCCTCTGTGTCTGCATAAAAGAACACCTAGCCGGAAACATAGACCAAATACTCCACTAGGCACGCATAGAACCCAGAGACATAACGGGGAGGACTTTGAAGTATGTGTCCCGATCCTAGCATGCGAATCAAGAACACAGGCTCGAAAAACTCTCGAGGCATTCTGGATTAACTCCAGAAATCCGAAAATGAACCGCAGGGAAGAATGCCTCATTATCACGCGTGATATAGGGCAGTATATAAGACTGTTATTCTGACGGGAAGGGCACATTATGCTTCCATGTGATTTCTGTGCGGTTGGTCTCAACGTGACATACTTAGTGGAAACCTAGCGGTGAGTGTGCAAAGCTGTGTTCAATGTGATTGAAATCTTGGTTTAGAGTTTCTTTGTTTGGTCATGGGGGCGTCTGGTCGAGTAGATTGCTATCAACTTGACCTTTCCAGGCTCTGAGGAAGGCGAAATCCGCCGAAACGTCAACTTATTCGTGAATAAAGAATAATAACACTTCGCGTTTGCTCAACAAAAATACGAAAAATTACTTGATCAATGCCGAGGTTAATAGAAAGTCGGACGTGGGAGTTACTAATTGATTTAGTACTGCATGAATAAGGAATTGCGTTGAAGAATTTTTTGGCAATAAAGGGAAATTTCGGCAATAATTTAGATGCTTTAGATGCTTTACACCGGTTTCGTCATTGTGCTTCCGTTGGTGATTTGCCAACTTTTCACACAGCCTGTTGCTTATTATCATATTCCTCTCTTATCAGGTGATTTCTACCTTACTGAAAACCACTCCAGTTGTCATCGTGCGACAAATAAATGGAGTTTTGAAGAATTCTTCATTGCAGCCTCCGCCGATTCACAATACGTCTACGGAGAGACGCCTCTTTATGAGTTAGTCTACCACCCGAGTTTTACACAGTCGGCCTATGTTCCGCAGGTGCCTTATGGGCAGTACGGGCAACCGATGTATCAGCATCTACAGTATCCTGTATATCAGAATGGTCTTTCACCAGGTACTCGACAAAATTCCGTGTTACCGTGTTACGAAGTTTCCTTAGTGAGAACACGCTTGTGCCCACTGTCACAAGCCAAGTGTCACTAAGACATTGCTAACTTTTTCTTAACGTTTACTACAATTTTCATGAGAGGGTTTTATGTGAAATCAACCACAATGATGCTGAGACATTTGCAAAACTCTGGACGATAAGTATCTGCGATGGGGTGAAGAGCACGTTACCCTCTGCAAAGGGTAATAGCGTGTTCAATCCTCACCGCAGATAACTGCCGCCCAGAGTTTTGAGGATATCTCAGCGTCATTGTCGTTAATGTCACCGAGACAGTTTTTTTTCCATTATATACATCATAGAGATATTGCTGTGATAGCATGTTTTTATTTTTCGTACAAAATTCATGACAGCGTTGTAGTGGTGAACTTCCGCAGCCCATTTTGGTCCAAATATTTCTACCAAAGAGATAATTCATAACGTCGATTTCTACTTGACCTCGCATTAATATAAAGTTCTTACTAACTGCCTTTTATAAGCTGAAAGAAGAATCTTGACACTTTTAATAACGTAGTCTTCTTTAATGCCGTATTTGTTTTCTAACAAAAGACCGGTATTTTCTTGACATAGGATGGTAGGTGGTAATTTAGTTAGGATAAATTTATTAGATTCACTTAGGATAAACATGGCATTCATTGAAAATCACAGATCCATGTGAATAACATTCATTAAGAACTTTGTGAAAAAGCGAAATAATTTATCACGTGGATCTTGAGGACTTGGCTTGCATCAAACTACACTAGCCAGAGAACTGCACGGTGGATATCTCAACGAATTTCGGGATGAGACAGGTTCTTTAAACCACAATGGTGAGCCTCATACAGTTATCATTCGATGAAGTCATGAACGACCTCAAAGAGGCAACTTGTGCGATGAAATGATTGCTTTGAAATGGCGAGAGGCTTACTGATTGAGGTAGTTTACTCTGCCTTTCACTCGTTTCTGATTGGTTTACCGAAGAAAAGCTCGCCTTCTTCCGTATCTCTTTGGGTGAAGGTGGGCTTTTCACTGCGCTTCAGCAATCATGAACAGATATGTGCATCGGTGATGGCATTTCTTACTTATGATTCATCGTTCGAATAATTAGCCAAGACAGTTGGCCTCTTGGGTTTCAAAAAAACTTACAGTGGTTTGATTGACGGTGTGTAGCCTTCGGTTAGTGGAAAACGGCAATGTTGTGCTCTTTGTGTAATTTAAACTCCAATAATCTTAAGAAAGATTTTTCGAAAAGTCCCGTCTATGGCAAGTCAGAAAGGTGGCACGAAAAGACGTTTTTTTAGTGCTTTTAGTGTTTTTTAGTGCTCTCACTGCCTCGTCAAACCACATCTGTTGTGGACTACGCGAGTTATATGAGCCTGATCAACGATAAAGAGAATTTTCAGGTAACTCAGTGATTCATTTGTTTTGTAAGTGATCCCTCTAACTACTGTAAATAGTAAAGCTATGAGATTAACTACTTAATTGCTTTAAAACCGTATTCCTTCACCCAATAAGAGGTGAACGGCGAGCGAACAGTTTCTAGCTTAATTATTGTGACGAATAGTTAGGGGCCAAGTAGAGCGGTTGAGATCGTGTGGAATATTAGCCATGCGGGCTTTTTAGTTGTTGTATTAATCTACAAGCTTCAAACTTGGGTAATTAAACCGTTTATATACATAAATACAACATTAATGACATAATAGTAACGATAGAGAAGTAGTGGTAAAAGAATCACGCGAGTTAAAGCTACGTGGTGCTATGGCTAGTAGTGAAGCGAAGCTAACAACGAGATAATGACATTTGAATATTACCACATCATTAACACAACAATAACAGTAACAATGAATGATTACATACAAGTAACCGTTGGTAATCCGAGAGTGATGCCGCGCTCGCACTATCCGCGGCCGGTGCGCTGGCTGAGAGAGACAGTATGCTGGGGCGGAGAGGGATACTGACCAGCAGTATTTTCGGTTGAGCTAAGGATCAACATTATAGCGGTGGGGTGCACTTTAGCATGATCGGTGAGGACAGTAACTCACACGAACATTTCAAGGGCTAGAATGATAATGACTGCAAATGATAAGCCTATAGGGGCTTAACAACTATATAGCATAAGTTGACCGCGCAGCGGCCTTGTACGCATGGAATAAATTGTGGGAGGAATGGTACTTGCCACTGATGGCGTTGCAAACAGAACGCATTTGGAAACACCCGCCACTACTAACAGCGTACCGTAGACAAGCTATGAAACGAGATACAATAATTTGCGGATTACTGAGGATGAATGAGAACGAATGAGAATGATTGAGAATGAGTGAGAATGACTGAGATTGAGTTGAGGTAATTGAGCATGAACGGGAATGATGTTGTGTGCAGCGGATTATCCGCGCTACCGATCGGAGGTGAGGTGAGTGATGGCATGTCTCCGGCGTCGAAGGCACCTGGCTTATATTGGCTGCGGGAGCTGCGTGGGTATGCAACCGCGGCCCATCTGGATTGTTGATCCTGGACTGCAATAGACTGTACTTAACTGCCTGAAACATCAAACGTCATTGGCTTCGTTGTTTCACAAGGAAGTAGTAGACTGTTCTTCTGCTACGCCTCCTCCGGATAAGCCACCGTTGCTGTGCAACTAAAGTCAAACCCAAACCGATATTGTGCCTGAAACACTGAACGGAATTGACCGAGTAGATTATAAAGGTTACATTGCGTTATCTGGTGTGCGATTGCGAGATAACTATGGTATGGACATCAAATACTATTATTTAGATGGATAGAGAACTTTCCAAGAGAGAAGTTCTCTATAATCATAACCACATATCTTTCGAGATACTCATTCCATCATGTAGATCAATTGATAGCATGCTCTTCTAAGAGTTGAATACATTGACTTATTACGTCATCAGCGCTTTTTAGCGCTGCGTGGCCTTTTATCCTTCCGCGCTACACCTCAATTTCAAAAAGTCCGCTGAGGTTACACCAACATTGGAGTCGAAAGATGTAAGACCGAGTTTGCCTTATATTTTTCACCGCAGCATTCCATGCCTTGGCTAGCTTTCAAGCTTGGACGATCCTTCTGCTTCGACTCTGGGACAGTGTCCACTATAATTCTTCAGACTTTTGTTGAGCAAGCACGAGGTGTTACTTTACTCTTTATTCCCGTAAAGCTGACGTTGACGTTGAGCTGACAAAGTTGAGATTCTTCGGCAAGCTGCTTGTAGTCCACGGTTGGATATTCCTTTATCTTCCAGTCATGTGAGGAAAGGAATTTATTGAAAATATTTTCATCATTCACAACTTTTTTCACTTTTATTGCACGATGACAGAAGCTCTTTCACCTTTCACAGCTTATGGTTGAATCGAATCCTCGCATGGAGATGGCGGCGATCAGATCTAACGCAGAATGCAAGTACCACTGAGGTGCAAAAGAGGCACCATAGTCTGTTCATGAGAACATGATCGATAACTGTATAAGTCTTGCCCTTAGGAAGCTCTTATATCTATCGGAGATTTGCTCTCTTCTAGAAAAATTGGTTTCCATGGAAGCGAAACGATGCGAGCAGCGATCGTACATGACGGTTTCCGTTCTCATTTCGTTTTCCCTCTCGGAATTCTCTTATACTGTATTCATTTTCGCCGGTCATTCGTAATTCCCATTAAAATGTCCAACAACGAATTTACAGGAGCACTTCTTGTTGTGGATTACTTCCTCCAACTGTTTGTGAAATGCGTCCATTCCGCTCTCGTTAATTGTCAAGTTGATAAATAGCAATTGGTGATACTGACTTTTTTTTGACACTTAAGACGAGACGGACAATAGCTATGCGCGGTAAACGAATTTCGTATGAGGTGACTAGTTGAGGAGGAGGTGGATGTGTGACAAAGCTAACGCCTCTAACATTGCGTAACGGAAATTCCTCTACCCGAATAACTAGGATTCGTCATCTAATTGGCACATGTCGGTCCCCGCCTTTCATCTCTTGCCGTTTGCATGACTCATCTTGCAGAAGCTACGCTTCGCCATAGCATGGGACCTTTGCTGTTTATTAGGGTTATGCAAGATCGGGTACACGTTAGCCCATGCCAGTGGCTTGCGCATCTCCATAGTAGCGTGACCGTTCGAAGAATTAAGTGACTGCATATCTTGGTGATATTTAAACATTCGGATTTCTTGAATAGGAAACCTATTGGTTGACTTAGCCTTATTAATTACTTACTTGAAACTTGAACGGCCCGTCCTCACTACTTGTGCGCGCCCCAGCATAATCACCATTTTTCGGAGATTAGCTGATTTAGCCATTGTGGTTGCATGGAATCTCCGAGGTCAGCCTGGCCAAAGTCTGCCCCAGGTCATCACCGCCACAGGCAGTCGCAACCTTTGCGGGTCAGAAGGAAAGTTGCCACTGTGTTAATAGTTTGATACCAGGACGGTGGCGGATCCTGGTATTGGTTTACTCTTAGCTAGGTTTCCTGATGGAAACGCCAGACTCCTTCTCAGCTTGGGAAACCATACCAGGAGATCAATCGCCCGCTGTACATCGCAGTCAGACACTCAAGAACACCTTCCAGCCACGATGAGGAGGTAAACCGTTGGGATAGGCTTTATTAATTACCTTTTATTTTGAACGACCTGTCTTTCACATATATTGTGGATCTAAGCGCTTCTTGCATTCGATTCGTTTTCTTGCATCTACTATCTACGAATGTTTTCCAAGATTTTAATCGTAGGTCCAGCGCTGGTGCTTGAGAATTTTTCTTTCGTCATGGACGTCGTTGAATGATAGTGAGTCGATTCTTCTCTGGACTCAAAGGATAGCTGGAATAGAGCGTTTCCGGTTGAATTGCGGTGAGTGAACTTTCATATACAAGTCTGGTACCAGTTTTCTGACCGCGGAGAGATGAGAGGCTTGGTGAGCTTTGGTGGTTATGGTCGAAGCAATACTGTATTGATGATTACCGGCATCACCACAACTGCCCTACCCGCCTCTTCCTTATTAGTTATTAATGTTGTAAATAACGATATCTTTCCATAACTCCACCAAAACAGTACAGTAAAACCTTCGAACATATGAAAGCATTGCTACTTCATTTCTCCAGTTTTTCTGCTTTTTTGTGTAAAAGCTGGTGCAAAGGAGGCAACCGTCTAATTTCGCATGAAGCTTCGGAACCACAACATCGTAATATTTTCCGCTGATGAAACAGGTGAAATATCAAACGGAAGAAGGTAGTATGGGATCAAATGCACAATTCCTTAAGAATTTTACCGCTTTTCGTTGTGTGAAACGAACAGTTAAATACGATGGCAGAGCTTTGGCGAATGCCACCATTATTATGCAGAGGGCTTACGAAATTGTTTACTGGGAAAATTTGAATATCTGCGTTTGCCGCCTTTGTGAGTTGTTGTATTTAAACAACTTTGACTTGGGTATGCCTCAAAAAACAGAAGGAGAAATATGAAGTTGTGAAAGTTCCGGGCAGAATTCAACGACAACAGGCTTAGATTAGAAGTGACGATTCAGTTAAGCAATTAAAAAACGCATCATTCCGACCAAGCACACAGTCCTAAGCAGAAGGTCAAAGTGTTATCAAATAATAAATCATTGGCATGTCCAAGTTGAAAGCATAGCCGGACTAGACCGAAGCGTTTTAGATGGTGCGGACAAGTTATCTAAATCGCGAAGATTGGAGAAGAATTTGTGTTGCTACTCAAGGATTGGCGTCCAACACGATTGCGTAGTTTTGCAATCAACTGCATCGTCCGATACAGTCCTTTTCTTGTTTCAATTCTTTGCAAAATATCCTTTATAGTTTTCTTCACCGTGGCTGGAGGTGTTCCGGGGTATTGGGCAGCGATGTACAGCGGGGAGTTCATCACCCCAGCAGAGCCTGCCAAGATCAGAAGCAGTTCGACGTTTCCATCCAGAAGCCCAGCTAAGAGTAAAGCAATACCAGAAATCATCGTTGTTCCGGTACCAAGGCAGTCGCATGTGGTAACTCTTTCTGATCCACAAAGACGGCGATAGTCTGGAGTGGTGACGACCTGGTTAAGATTTCGGTTAGGCTGGCGTCAGAACTTCAGGGAATCATAATTTATAAACTTATGAAACTCCAAAAATTGGAGACTGTGCTAGAGTCCGCACTAGCAGTGAAGACTAGGCTTCCAAGCAAGGAATCATGCTTTTGTTCATTGGTCCTCCTCTGGTGTCACAATCCCTTTTTGATCGTAAAGCAATTGTTAACTGAAAAAATATTCTTGAACTACAATATACGTCTTTTTGTAAAAATAGTTGAGTAATTGTTGTGAAACTAATTCCATTGGGATCATTTTAACAGAATTAAGATTTTTTTTAAGACGTCGAAACGTTAGCCGAAAATAAATATATTTATCAACCTCGTGTAAGCTTATCAAGAAAGAATACATATAGAATTAAGATTATTTTCACATCAATTCAATATCACTGAAGATATTTCCGAAAAAAACTGGAAGACGAAAGGTTGGACTCGTAGGTGCTGGTCAGGCACTTTTAATAGAATGTGTGCATCATTCATGCTCTATTTTTACTCTCGTTGAGGCAATGTGTATGGATACGTCCCGCATTTCGTTTTATGATCCAGTAAGTTTTACTGAACCAACTTCAAATGGACGAAGACGATTTTCTCATTCGGCGGTTGAGATCGAACCAAAGACAGTTTGTGTAGGCACGCTTTGTGTTTCTCGCACTTCCTAGGTTGTGCGCCACCAATAAATTATGTGTGAAAGTCCAGGTAGGCTGACATCGTTGACTGAGATGTAATGTTTCCAGTAGTTACCATGTACGAATACAAACGTAGAAGATGAAAATGGGAAAGAGACTATCCACTTTGACATTCTTTGTTTTCACCGTAACCGAGGCCCTCTCGTTGAGTAACGCTTAAGACGTCTGGCTGCGGATGGGACGCGACGCTGGTGAAGTGCACGGACACGTTGGGTCTGTGCAAGGGTGGCTGTCGCGACTTCGCAGTCTCCGCTTCGGCTCCTCTCCATGATTGCAGGTACGATCCGTCACTGATTTACGCAAATGCTGCATGATCATTTCTGGCCTTGTGTCCACAAGAGATTTGCTCATTCGTTGAACGTTCTAATTTTTCGATGTTTTTCTTCAATAAGCAGATACGAGGTTGCTATTATAGGATTTATTAGGCTACAATAGTTGATGTTTCGGTGGTTTCGCCTTCTTTAGAGTCGTTCATTTGTTGTAAGTATTTAAGTTAGTTGATGGATAGCAGCCGCACAGAGTAATACATGGGCGATAACGGGCGAAGGCGAAACCGCCGAAACGTCAGCTATTGTATCCTAATAAATCCTATAATAACAACCTCGTGTCTGCTTATTGAAGAAAAACATCGAATTATCAACCAACGCCGAGGTTAAAAGAAAGTCGGTCGTGGAAAGTTCTATTTTTTTTACGACAGAAGGACAAACTCGAGAAATTTTCCATTCAACCAACTGCGTCTAGGCATTTGAAACCGAACGTATAGAGGACAAAAAATAGAACTCTCGAGGTTGGTCAATCCGTGAGGGATGCCTCATGCATCCGACTTCATCATGTATCTTAGAGGTGACTGAATGCATATCTGGCCTATGGCTAATCGCAGTAGCTTACCGATGTACCGAGCCAGTGTCACATCTCCACAGACAACTCTGTTATCAGTTCACCAACCTCAGAGAGAGAGGGAGGAAGGACTTGGTGAGCGTAGGGAGCGAGAATGATCCTATGTGTTTTGCAAAAAGCCTCTAACCACTGTGGTACAAGCTCCCATCAAAAAAAAGAAATCGAACTTATATCTCTTTTTCATAAAATAGTGCCATGTGAAATGCAACGACAAGGAAACAGAGATATCAAGCAGGAATCGGAGCTTCAGTTCGGCTTCGAAACCGCGATTACCTTGTCAGTGGGCCGCGTTCACTCGCACCAATTGTGGCCCTTGGTTTGCCTCTCTTTCAGCCATTCTACGTCTCTTCTTTTAGCCACGCTTTTGTTTTTTTGGTTTATTTTTACAGCACCAAGTACGAGTAAACAAGTTACGAGTAGTAGTATGGCTGACAGAAAAGTCAAGAATCACGATTGGTGTGGTGGATAGAGCGTGAGCCCCCTTAAGGGTAACTGCTGGTTCGAAGCCCAGCCAAGGTTCCGAGTTCTTCTCATACCTCGGAATTCTCATGGCTATGTTGTAATGTTCTATTTCATAAGTTTTTAAAACGGAATTGATGTTCCTATTATTATTACAACTGAATAAATGGTCATTGACGAAGCGAATAATGAAACTATTGAGTGCCACGCGGACATCGTCGGAGGCGGTTATCAATTTCTTCAACGCTTCAACAATTAACTTACTTTAAAAAAAATAAGTGAAAATAGATTGTAGTTTATGAACTGCATTTATGGCTCGACTTCTATTTATTATCTATTAATTAATTAAATAATCGATATAAGCGAATTTATAGTGGGTTAAACTTCCTTGCACTAAGCTTCGAAATTAAGATATACTTTAATTTGTACGAGCGCGTGTGGCACAGTGGTCGGAGAAGCTCTGCAACACATACATACATGGGGTCGATCCCAGAACTACAGTCTCACCGAGTCCTCCATCCTTTCGGATTTGGCGAATGGGTACCACACTTGTCCAGGAGGATAGCAGCACTGGCTCAATAAGTCGGTAGGTCACTGCGAGTCATTATAAAGGCCAGGTATGCATTCACTGACCACCAACGATGCTTTATGAAGTGGAATGCACGGCGCATCCCTCAGGGATTGGTCAACGCTGAAAGCTTTCTTTGTCCGTTTGATTTGTATTTTTAATCGGTATTGTATTTCAAATGGTACCATGCCGTGAAAAATTGTAGTAGGCAGGAAATAATATTTTAACTTTAATTTCTTTTCAGATGTTCGTGTTTATTTGAAAGAAATGGAACAATAGAAATAGTCCTAAATTAGTATTCATAGCAACTACGAATAAAGTTTTAAGTCACTTCGAAAAATCTTTTCATATTGTATAAGAGGTTTCTTGACGGCTATTTATATGTTTGTTTTGCTGCAGCACTTCTATTCGCACCCGGTTTCTCCGAACGCTCTGTGCATTCGGTCGTGGCACTGACTAGTTTTTCCTGTACAAGTAATGCCTGTTCCGTTATTTATAAACAAGGAAAAATCATCTACCTAACAACCCAGTTCGTACAGAGATAAGATCGTTTTTTTTCACAATCATAAAAATGGTGATACCATTTGAAGGAGAAGAAGAAGCCAACTTTAAATGGATGGGTAGCAATCTGCTGGAATGGTAACGATGAAATATTTTTAGAGACTTCTAAGACCTTTTCTAGACTTAAAATATGGTAAGAGTTGGTGGGTGCTGTTATGGCAAATATAAGTAACTGATATTTCGAAACCGACCTTCCCTAAACCTCGGTGTGACTAATCAATATGTATTCTTTCTTGATAAGCTTGCACGAGGTTGATAAATATATTTATTTTCGGCTAACGTTTCGACGTCTTCGTCTTCCTCAGAGCCGGTGATCCGAGTCGATGGTCCATGCTTGTTGTTCGCCTCGACGTTGCGTCTTCGCCTTCGTGTCGAGCCAGATCTTCCTCAGTGAGCCATCTTCTCGAATCTGCCGAAAAAAAAAACGTTTAGCCGAAAATAAATATATTTATCAACCTCGTGCAAGCTTATCAAGAAAGAATACATATAAGTAACTGATTTAATCGACGCTATACATTAGTCCTCTGGGAGAGTTTTTACGGTGGAAAACCTTCTGATTGGAGTGGGTTTGAAGAGCCACGTGCAAAACTGTTCAGGATGGCTGTTCCGTGACACGACACTAATCCGACATGGCATCTACTTTTTTGGGGTGAGGTATTGCATGCCCTTTTATATACACTGTATATATGTTGAACATAAAGAGAAGAATTAGGAGAATAAGCATCTAGTTGGATACTTGTAGAGATCATCCTTGCCGATAGTATGAAACTAGTCTCAATCAAAATAGTCAAGCTCGGAAAAGTGAAGCGAGGGAATCTCCATTCAGAACGAATAACTAACTACCAGTTCGTCTTTACTATTATGCTGAGCATTCTTAATATAGGTTTGCTTCAAGGTCGATCTCACGGTAGTGACGATTGTGTGCTCGTAATATAGCCTTTCTACGGTTGAATAACCCGGGTGTTATTGTGGGCACTGTGCGAGGCCAACGGTCGAACCATCGACCGTGTGCGCAGCAGAAGCGTGTCGTTGCCTAACATACACAGCACAATATTGCAGTCAAAATAAAAAATGCATAGAAGTTATTCAATGTATTACGAACACCTTCAATCCCTTTAGCTGCTTTTCCGTTGATCACTGAATTAATTTTGATATCGCTTCGCATTGGAAGTAAATACATTCAGCAAAAGTCGATTTCGATCCTTGATTTTCTACTAAGCCACATAACCACGAACAAAAGGGAAAATTCGGCGAATATTGGAAGAGTGGAGTTGTTAAGCGAGAAGCAGCAGCTTTCAAATTCCTACCTTCAGCAAGGGGAAATCAATATTCTCAGATTTTTGACATATTCGACACTCGAACAGTTGAACTATGCAATATTTCATCAGAACCACACACTTTCGAGTGAAACAGTCAATTCGGTAACAGTGTGATAACTCTGACTTGTTAAAAATAATCCATTTCAGGTGTATCCCTTACGGCTACGCGGCATTGCTGAAGCTTGTTGGCAAGTAGACACAGCACTACGTCGGAACCATCCCCTCTGTAATCTATGGTCTTTTTCAAATGTCTCTCGCGGATATAATCGTTTCTTTAAGATTGATTTAGAATATTTATACTTATACTATTGTTATAACGCAAATTCTTTCTTTAATAGTGCCTGAAAAATGCGACAGTGTTTCCGATGTATGCAATGATTTCAGAATGTTGCTAATAATAGTTATACTCATATAGTTTTTTACTGAAGCCTTCCTCTTTTCTTGTTGCAATGAAGCCGCGTTTTTGCATTTGAACGCTGCGATGCGGATTCAGTCATTTGCCGGTCGACCAGCCAGTCGCCCAGTATTTTTCCGAAGTGTGGTCGGCGGTGGCAGCGCTTTTCGTTTGGTTTGCAACATTTGTGCTGATTTTCCTTGGATGCACCACCGTTCGGTCGAACGCGTTCCGCTCTGCTGAGCCTCGACGGCAAACCCTCGCTGAGCCGACGATCGGCTTTCGTGTCGCTGCCGCTTGATGAGTCGTCCGTCACCACACGCGACGACCGGTTTGCATCGAAGTTTCACAATGAATGATCTAATCGTCTGATAATAATACGACGAAAATTGAGAGCTCATGACGGACAAAAAAAACTAAGCAACTCCCAAAAAATCACTCACGAACAGGCGAAAACTGCAAAATTCTGTGGGAAAGAAGTTCCAGCAGCTGAAGGAGTATAGGAATTGTGGGGTGAAAGCAATAAAGGTGAATAAAAAGGTATTAAGTGAGTTTGAGGTGTTTATGCTTTTCCTATTCCCTCCTTTGATACGAGAAGAATTTACAATTTGGGATGGACACGGATTCGTACTCGTTTTAGCATCGTAATGGCAGTCTGAACTTATCTAATGAAATGAGTCTTTGTGAGGTGTTGGTTTCTTCTGCTTCTCGTAGGATCTGGCAGTTGATTTGGGTCAGTGCGATTGATTACAATTACGGGTCATTTATTTCACGCTAACTACGCAACATTTTCCAAAAATAGCACAGCGAATATGCCTTTCTATTGTACAGCTTTGTCGATCATTTACTGCTTAGAAAAGTGTGAAAATAAAACTGGAAAGCCATTGTTGCTCGATGTTTTTTCTGTACGAGAATGTTCAAGAAGAGAGTTCTTGCAGCAGAAGCTTCAACGATGTCTAACTTTCTGAAGGGCGCGTGTGGTGCGGCAGTCGGAGGCGCCCTGCAACACGCACGTAGGATCGATCCTGGCGCCCGTCGCTCACCAAGCCCTCCATCGCTCCGTGGTCAGCAAATTGCTACCATACTTATCTGGGAAGATAGCAGCACTGGGTGGATACTTCGGCAGGCCACCGCGAGTCATTGTAAAGCCCAGATATGCATTCAATTACTCCAAAAGGATACTTAATGAAGTCGAATGGCTCATCCCTCGTGGATTGACCAAGGCCAAGACCTTTATCCTTTATCGCAATTTTTTGAATCAATATATTCAACGTTAAATCGCATGTAATATTTCATTTAAGTTCAAAAGTCTCCCCAAACCTTGTCAATCAAAATTCGGCCCGTCGACTTGAAGCAAGTTGATGTTACAAGCCTTTTCATTGCAGAGAAGAGAAAACAAACACATTCCTCATTCCATATGAACGTCATGTGGACAGCCTCATTTATTTAAAAAAAAAGCTGGACCATGCGGAAACGTGTTAATTCATCAACAATACAGCTGCTTAACATGTTCTCTCATGCTCAGTTTATCGATTTACACTATGTAGCCGTCCTCTTGTTGTATACTTTGCCAGCTCACGCTTTCACAAATACTGCGAGCACTAGCACAGTATGTGTAGAACAGGTTTTATCCGCAGCCCATATATTTTGTTCAGCCTCGACGATTAGTGAATGGCTTGTAATCATGGTGTTCTCAATAACTTTTTTGTATGATTCCATATCACACATTTTGCGGAACCCAAAACTTCTTACATTTGATTTTCTTTCTTTGCAAGCATCAAACACGAAGGTTTTCAAAGTTTTGGGCGCGGGTTCGGATACTGCTTGAGGATCTTTTTTTATTCTCTGTGGGTCTCACTGGTCGAATCGATTCTCCTTGATGATTCTGGGTAATCGTTCTAGAGCGTTCATAAGTGGACTGAAGAGAGTTAGCTGTTCTCAGGCAACTCTGGAACCATTTTCCATTTCCCTGAGAGATAGCAGGTTTTGCTAGCTCTGCGGCGGGTCAAAATGGCGTCTTACTCTCACTTGTATTTTCCAGAATAAGCGCTTTTGTTAAAGTTATTGCGAACAAAAATTTCACATGTTTTTTCCTTGATGTTAACAGGTCATCATTCGTTAACAGCATCCGAAAGTGGGGCGATATTGTGCGAAGAAGAATCCGTTTTCACTGGAAAATGCAAAGTGAACGGACGTTTTTGCCAGACCCATCAATTCATCTACTGTGGTGATTCCAACTCTTCTAGCGTTCGATTCATTTTCACCGCCTTTATCGTCCACAGTGGTCTTTGAATATTTCGCGAGTTGTTTCGATTTGTTGTTTCAGAACCTCTTCTTCTTTATGAATGTCGCAGAATGCTGGTCCAGTCAATTCTTCTCTCAATCTTGTAGAAAGGCTAATTATGGCATTCCAAGTTGTAGATTAGAGAAAAGCGTTGAATTAGTACTCTGCCTGCTGATGAACTGCGTCACTAACCACTGCGCTATCCCTCCCTAAGCGAGCGATTACCAATGTAAATGACACTGTTGTCGTTCGCGTTGAAGATCAGCGCCAGTTCGCCCGCCCCTTTAAACTTGGTCGTCCACAATAAAAGGCCCTAATCGCAGATGACTGCCGCCTAGTTTTTCAGCATAAAAAAACCGTTATTTGACCGTTTCGTCATCATACTCCTTTGCGAAAAGTGAGTTATGTATGTCATCAGACCTTTACTAAATGAGACAAAGTGTTTCATCGCTAAAATTTTTTGCTTCTGATGAATGTCAAGAAGAAGAAGAAGGAGTAGAACAATTTCAGCAATGACTAGAGGATCAGGCGTTCTCTTCGTTTTTTCGTTGACTGTTGCAGTGACGTTAGTTTATTTATAATTATTGTTTACGACTTTTTCAAACGCCACATATCCAGTTTGACAGTCGGTGTCGAGTATCGGATCCACGTGAACAAGCAAACTGCGAAAGGCAAAACTTGTAGAATTTCACCACTTAGATTTCAGAAGTGCCCAGTACAAATCCAGCTACATGTCCGGCGACGGCACGATGACCTATGGAGGGTATGGTGGATACGGTAAGCGGAAACAACTTTCGTAAATATGAATGGAGAGAAGCTTGAATCGAAAGTACCTGCACTTACTTATCAAACCCGTCCTACGTTTTCCGTTGTTCGGCGTCTCTCATTAGGGAACTCGCTTTATTCTTAAATGTGTTATAACCATGTGATAAATAAACTAAAAAGAACCTGCGGTCCGGAGTTTTGCAAATATCCGGGACCCGGATAGTGTGGTGGTGAAGTGCGCTACTCCTCGGTAAGGACAATAGCGCGCGTTCGTTCCCCACCGCATACACCTGCGGTCCGGAGTTTTGAAATATCTCAGCATTATATACGAGTTATATTTCGCAACATACCCTGCCATTAAAAAGAAAAAGGCAGTAAATAAAAGAGGCAAGATTGTGATTAAAAAGAGTTTGTTTGCAAAACTCCGGACCGCAGGTGTCTGCGATGGGGAACGAACCCACTGTTGTCCTTTCCGGGGAGTAACGCGTTCACCACCACACCATCCGGGTCCTTCGTTTCGCCTGTCTCTCAGCTAGTTCTATCTATCTCTCCCATCAACAATCATCCGTCAGCGGGATTGATCTGGGGAGCCGAAATCGGCAATGAACCCAGTTAAGCTTAGTCTTTAGTTATAATAGTTATAGTTAAAATCCATAGAGGGCCCTCATGGTGAGGTGGTGAACGCGTTACTCCTCGGAAAGGCAATAGCGCGTTCGTTCCACACCGGGCACCTGCGGTCTAGAGTTTTGCAAATATCTCAGCATCATTGAAGTTGTATTTCGCAATATACTCTGCCATTAAAAAGAGTAGGCAGGAAATGAAACGGTTAAGATTAAAAAGAGTTTTAATGGAGACCGTTTTTTTCATATCCATTTCTTAGGTCCAATGGGTGGCATGGGATCATCCTACGGATCACCGTACGGTCTAGGCGGATACCCAGGAATGACTGGAATGGGTAACCAAGCAGCTTGCACTGTATGCCGTAGAATAATTTAAAGTCTTAGAAATTCAGGAGGAGGTTACGGTATGGGCATGCCAGGAGCAGGAGGAATGGGCATAGGGAGCGGTTATGGTAAGTTGGAAAAGTTATCGTATTCTGAGGCATGGCGGTCTTCACATTAGCTTTAATTCACTTTCCACATTATTTTCCAGGATCGCCATTCTCTTCTGGTAGCATGTATGGGAGTGGAATGAGTGGAATGAACGGATTAGGTGGATCAGCTCTCGGTGTGGGTTTAGGGACTAGTCTGTTTTTCAAGAAATAAGCAACAATCAGGTCTACGACGAATCGTCTTTCATTCCAAGATCTACACATTTGAGCCCATTCTTTTAGTGAAATCTTATAAATTTATGGTATAAATAATAAAGCATGCTGTAGTAATGTGATAAGAAGTGTATGACGGTAATACGAAGAAAGATTGAGAAAACTCTAGGATGTACTGACGAGTGTTGAAGACCGAAAGATTTACTCCAAGCGGAAGGGCATTCATAAGTCAATGAGTTTTGCTGTTCTATTTGAAATCAGCAACGATGAAACTGTTCGCAAAAGTTGGTGTTAGTCCTAAAAACCTCTAGGATGCCTTAGCGAAATCAGGAACGTTTCTCACCCACAGAGACTGCCTGCTTAAAACACTACAGTACGACCACCAAGGTTCGAAGAAAAGAGTTACCTGGCCAGAAACGTTGAGTATGGTGAGTATGGTGGGTGACGCAGAGTTTCGTTATTCAATTTGTTCAACCTTGGCACCGTCGCTTGTACGACGCGTCGCCGCTTATTATCTTGGAGAAAAGGTTACACCGTTGCTGCCCACTAATGCCGCGCGATAACGTAGAAGTCTCTGGCTCATTTCGTCGATTTTCTCGATGTACTATTCCATCGTAAGCACTTCACTCGGATTCAGGAGGCTCTTGTGGGTTAAACCAAAAAAAAACAACCGCAGTATCCATTTTGACGAAATTTTGTCTTCTGAAAGTGCTGAGGAGCTTCGTCGTGGTCCAACCACTAAGCTGACATCGCTGGTTATCGAAAAGGATCTGCTTCTTATCACGTTGAATGCTGTGAGGAAACGGGTCGTGGGGTTGGTGCAGAAGAAAGGACACCTCAAAAAGGCTATTTCCTTAATTGTAATTCTATTTAGTGCGGCTCCCATTTGTCGAGCTTCTACGACTTCCAAGTGCAGAAGCTATCTAAAGCTTTTGACTGAAAAATACAGCCTGTCAGCGACCTACTTGGATACTTGGGTGGCCCATCTTCACTGGTTGTGCATGCTCGAGCACGATTTTTATTTTTTCGGAGTTTTGCTGGCTTAACCATTGTAGTTCCCTGTAGTCCCGAGATCAGCTAGCCAAGGTCTGCCCGAGGTTGTCACCACCACTGGCAGTTGCTCCCATTGTCGATCAGAGTGAGATTTGCCATAATGCGTCTAGTTTGATACCAGGACGTTTATCACTCTTGATATTGATTTGCTCTTAGCTGGGCTTCCTCATCTTCCTCATTTAAACGCCGGACTCCTTCTCAGCATGGGAAACCCAGCTGGAAGGATTATTCCCCCTCTGTACATTGCAACCTGACACCCAAAAACACCTTCCAGCCACGATATGATTTTTGGGAGATTACCTAGCAATTACTTAGTTAGTTCTCAAAAAGTGATTTTCCATGGAAGAGGCCCTCTGTGAGTAGGAGTTAAGGGGAAACGATTCTGATTCTCCTTTCGTCGTCCCATTCTCAGTTTTCTCTCCATGTGTTCTGGTTTGCAGGCTTGCTTAACTTAACAGTAAAGCTTTCAACAACGAATTTATGGAAAGTCTTATGAATCACTGTACATTACTGCCCTCAATTGACAACAGGTTACAACCAGTTTGTGCTAGTCGTCTACACAGGTCAACGAGCAGCAATTGGCGATACTGATCTACACAATGGCAGATGTTCCAGCAGTTTTGCCTTCTTTCGAGAGTTAAATTGACACGCAATCTACTCAGTCAAACACTTTCATAACCTTAGCAGACAAAACCTAATACATAAATTTGAAGCGCAAATTAGTACATTTTAAAATCCATATAGAATAAATTAGTTTTAATAAAGCAAAAAACACCGTTTATGAAGGTCCTAAAAGTCAACCAGAGTCGATAACGTGCCAGAAAAGAAGAGTTAACTGTGTTAGGAGGCAGGACCTTCCTTAAACACTACGCTGTTACAGTTGGGTCCAAATTCCTCACCGATGAAGCCTATTTTTAAGGAGACCTTGCTTGGGATCGTGTTCAGTTTTTACGAACTTCAAGGTCTACTTTGTTATAAGACTAGACCAAATTAGTTATATAAAGACGAAAAACAAGAAGTAGGGCATTACTACCACATCCTTTTCCATTAGCATTCTTTGGACAGCGTTACCCGAACGGCGAAGGAGGTATCAAATTTCGCACATTTTTGGGCGAAGCTAAAGCGAAAGAAAGTTTAATGATAGCATCAGAGCACCAAAAAGATGTGGCAGGCGACAGATTCGAAAACTAATAAAATCGGAAAATATTAGACTACCTGTTTGTGGTAAGGGTGGAAGGTTACTAGCAATTCCTATTCAGTTAAGTGTTCAGAGAGCCAAAAGCGATTTGAAGACGCTTTCCTTCATCGCCCACCATTTGGAAAGGGTTTCAAAAACCAATGGTGAAAAGTAAACATGGAATGGATCAAGGTGGCAAGCGTGGAAGGTTTAATAAAACGAATAACCTGGAATAAGATGCAGTCATAAGCTATTTCTCCATTTAAAGTTGAAGTACCAACACGTTCTATTTCCATCTTATACCTACTTACCAAAATTCATAAGTTAATTTCCAGCTATTCTGCATTAATAAATACCAACAACAACGTGCTTACTCAGCAAAAGAACTAGTGAAAACAAGTTGCCGACATCTTTTTTGCGAGGACGGCAGTGGTCTCTTGATTTGAATATCTGTTCTGGCATTTTGTCTCTTGTAGGGCGACCACGAAGAATTTTATGTGATCTACACCTGGTTTATTGCTGATTGCTAGTTAACTTCTCATTCTTTGGAGGAGTGACACAGACTCGCTAAGGCATTTTTATGTTTCATCACAGGAATGCTTCAACCACTGCTGAAGTTTTGTGGAGACAACGAATCTTGATACTAGTCGGCCGACTAACTCGGTTTCGATCTATTAAGCTGAATTTAAGCAAGGAAGTGCACCAATGAAAAGCGACCAGCCGATCAATAACGTTATAACGAGCGCAATTCATTGGTGTTAATTATGGTCACGTTTGTACCAATTTTAGTAGCATTTTGGCTGATTTTGCTTGGGCCAAAGTATTGGAGGATTATGCTCTGGTTTATTGAAAAGTATACCAGCCAAATTACAGTGAAGTCTCAAGTCTCGATTTAGTAAAAAAAAAAGCCGGTGTTAATTTGTAGGCAGAGAACATACCAGTTTGCTCTTCTACGCCCCTCAGCATGTCCTTTCGATTTCATAAAGTCTCATTTTTTAAGCAGTTTTAAACCTAAGCAGTTTCTATCTGATTTTTGTTTTCGAATTACCCAAACATCTGTAGTACTTGTCATGCTTTCTTGAGCTCTCCAAAGCTTGTCTAAATCTACCGTCGCTTGCTCGACGCCACTGTACGAGTCGGTCTACTTTGATTTCTGCCAGTCCACATTCACATGTTCCAGTCTTCTTCGGTATTTTTTGTAAACGCACATTCCATACAATAAACGTGTTTTACCATAACGATAAAAATGGGCAACATCTGGTTGGCGATTTGCTGGTCACTAACCATGTCCAGAAAAACATCTTTTGTAAATCATTAAGCGCGGAGAACAGCTTTTCGGGTCTGTTACCTTCTACACTGATCTGCTTTCGACTAGCTATCGAATGTATGAACTTAGTATGGCAAAAGAGTTCTGTAACTCAACGAGCTGATAATGGGCACTGTGCGTCCAAACCGTGCGTTGCGTATTGAAGGAGGCGAAAGAAATGTAAAAAATCCAGAAACTAAAACATTAGCTAATTTTTCAACATATTTTCATACATATGATTTCGATCAAAAGTCTTTCCTTCAGATAATCGATTAAAATCCTTAAATCCTGCTGCGGTTAAGGACAGAAACGCATATGGTGCTACAAACAGCTAGTGCGAAACACGTAGTTAAAAGGTCCGATAATCAAAGATCCCTGTTGCATTTGCGTGAAACCCTAATGATAGCGTCGATATGATAAAGGCCTGATCGATCTTTGATTATATATAAAGCTTAACTCAACTAGAAGTCTCTTCATTCATTATTACCAACTTCTTAGCCTAAGCACCTTTATGGCAAAAAGTGAACGCTTCTATGTAGCTGTGAGTTTCTAGCTTTTAATTGTTCAGCATTGTAATTGCGTTTTTCGCTCAGAGATTGGGAGAAGTCACCAAAACAATGAAAACAAGCCTTCTAATAAAATTGCACGAGTTCACGAAAGAGGAATAGACGAAAATAAGGATTTTGGGTTACTTAGCCTTTCGCTAATGATCGTACTCCAAACTTAAATTGCTGGAAGCAGATCGCTAAAAAAATGCTGCTACGAATGAAGCGGTCTCCGATGAGGAATTTAGGAAAAAACAGGATCTAATTTACCGCACAGCCTTATTTCTGTTGCTCATGCAGGCCATTCGGAAGTGGCTTGTGAAGGTTAAGTAGCCGTAAAATTACTGACGCCGAGAAGCCGTACGTTCAAGAAAGGCGGATTTTGTGCCGGACTGATATGCACATATTCATGAGTGCGCACACCATGCATGTGTGTCTAAGAAGTGGTTGCAGGATTACGAAGTCGGGCTGAACAATTAAATCCATTTCATCTTTCCTTAACGTTAGTGAATGGTTCTACACAAAGATCTGGTGTTCCTCTTGTCCACTATTCGATTTGCACCTATCCCCGCAGTCTTTTGCTGCCTCAACCATTCATGATTCTGAGTGAGAAACTGCTGATCAGTAATGTAAAAAGAGTAAAGTTGCTGTTTTTGGCATTTCCTTCAATAACAGAATGACGAAAATAGATTCCTATAAGCAACTAACGGACTGAGTCAAACATTTGTGATAAAAAGGTGTGAAATAGTGTTGATTTTTATACTTATGTCCTGAAGAAAACCGAAGAGTCCAGTATGGATTGGAGAAAATTTTACGTTTATGGTCGTAACTGCAGCAAGCTCTTAACGACGTTGCTCCCAAGAGAAACGTCACGTAGTTCACGTCGTGGAACAAAACTAAGGCAATATGCGGCTATTAAA